TGGCGAAGCAGTGCGAGAAGTTCCATTCATCGCGCAGATTCTGAAGTTCCTACAGATCAACGTGGAACTACCTGTGCAAGTGAAGATCGATAACGTGGGTGCTATCTTTATGTCGGAAAACAAGACAAGTGCGATTCGAACCAGGCACATGGATACTGCAGCAGGACGGCCTAGTGAAGATTGACTTTGTTCGCTCAGAAGACAACGTGAGCGACATTGGGACCAAGAATGTCAACGTCGAGACCCCCGACAGACATGCACCAAGATTGACGGGAGACAAGGAGCAATTGGTTTGAGTTTGTGAGAAGGTCGCTGCCATCATCGCGAAAACAGGAAGGGTGTTAGAAAGGTATTTTCGTATGACGGACAGACGACTCGGGATCCACAGTCACGGTTCGTGATTGGGGATGTGTGACTCAAACTCAGATGGTTATCCGATCATCATCGGATGGCCAGATGTACGAGGAACGAGGACGATGGTTTTCTAGATGATGCAACTACAATGGTCAGGAAGTTAGGTCGAAGAGATGAATGCAAGGAGCGATGGGACGGAGCAAATGAATGGACAGCTGAAGGTCCACAGGTTTAGTAAAGTGGGAAAGCCCCATCAGGGCCAACCATGCACTTCAGGAAGATAGATCGACGAGATCTATCTGCAGATGAAACTGCGAGAAGCAGAGGATCAAAAAATCCTGGTACATGTATGCATATCGGAGCTCAGTCTAAGAGCTCACAATCTGAACGAGAGAGAAAGAGAAAACGAAACGAATAGCCAGTCTACTAGACAGTAGAGCTGGAAAGATACTGATTAAATTAGAGAAATTGTGCGTTCAAGTTCACCCCTTTTCAACATACTGTACGGCAAGGGGGGTTTGCGGTTTGTGGTTGTTGCCCCTCTTATAAAGCAAGCAGCAAACTGTGAGTGTCGTTGCTGTGATGCCGGGCAGAATACAACAGCAGAGAGTGCCTACCTTGACTCTTGGGAATGGAGAGGAGGTGGTGACTTAGAAGACCTTTGCAGGGAAATGGGGAAAAAGCGCCATGGCAACACAATCATGACCAAAGAAGGGCGCTCCAAGACCACACCAGGCCTCAACCAGCCAAATAGACCACCCACTTGGCATGTTGGCATGGCCAAGCCAAGATGTCTTGGTGGCAAGGTCCTGGAGCGTTCCTCAATCGTGCATGTCTTAACGAAAACCGACCCTATTTTTTGGGACGGATTTAGGGACGGGTTCCCTTTAGGGACGGGTTTGAAAACCGACCCTAAAAATAGGGACGGTTTCTAAAAAATAGGGACGGTTTCTGAAAAAACGTCCCTAATTTAGGGACGGGTTTTGATTTAGGGTCGGGTTTGAAAAACGTCCCTAAATGGAAGCGGGACTGAGTGGTAAATACATTGAAAACGCACCAATATTAGGGACGGGTTTGAAAACCGACCCTAAAAATAGGGACGGTTTCTGAAAAATAGGGACGGTTTCTGAAAAAACGTCCCTAATTTAGGGACGGGTTTCGATTTAGGGTCGGGTTTCGAAACCGACCCTAAATCAGTCGGATTTAGGGTCGAGTTTCCCCAAACCGACCCAAAAACTAGGGTCGGATTTAAAGGACATGCACGATTGAGGAACGCTCCTGAAACGGAACTAAACTGTTAGTTTCATGGAAATTGGGAAGTTAGTTTCATGGAAAGTTAGTTTCACGGGAATGTTAGTTTCACGGAAATGGAGTTAGTTTCACCGAAATGGGTTAGTTTCACGGAAATTTCCGTGAAACTAATAGTTTCAAGGTTTTGAATTAGTTTCACGGTTTTTGGTTAGTTTCACGGTCTTAGTCGTGTTTACATTGATTTACTGTGACAGAACTGTACTTAGTTTCACCGTTTTGAGTTAGTTTCACGGTTTTTAGTTAGTTTCAAGGAAATACCGTGAAACTAACTATTTTCACGGTTTTGAGTTAGTTTCACGGAAATCGGTCTGTCCTAATTTCCGTGAAACTAACAATTTATCGTAAAACTAATGGTTTTCGCCATTTGAGTCCCGTTTCTTGACCTTGCGGTAAACGATATGACGATGTGTTAAGACATGTGCATACTGTATCGTACTAGCTAGTACATGTGCGGGATGTTGAGTCTCCATGAATTCGAAGTTTTGGTGATAAACCGCCACTTTCTAATTCAATGATCAGCAACCATGAGTGACCAATGGCTAACCACGAGTGACCAATGGCTGATCACAGTTGACCACGGCTGATCACGGCTGATCACGGTTGACCACAGTTGGCATAATTTGTTAGGTAAATTAACTAGTAATTGGCCATAATTGACCATGGGTAACCACGACTGACGACTACGGCAGACCACAAGTAACCATGGGTCAACGGCCACTGACCACACTACCTTTAAAAATAAGGGGATGCACTAGTACTAGTAGTCTATTCTTCAGAGCTACAAAGCTACAGTACTAGCTAGCGAGCCAATAGCTAGGCGCTACCATAGCTAGCTAGAGGCAAGCACTTCACCATCATTGTCACTGACATTGTTTGCTGGTGTTGTCAGGTTGACCAGCTTTGACCATATTAGCCCTTTATTGTCTGGACAGATAACCAATCAAGTGACCTCCAAAAGAGCCATTTTCCCATCTCCCAGAGAAACAGAGTTTTTTGCTGTAAAGGTGCAGAATTTTTGCCACCAAGGTAAGTGTCCAAGACATGCAACATTTTTGCCTTTGAGGTGCACTCCCAAGAGGTGCAGAATTTTTGCCGTAGAGAAGAACTCTATTCGTGCAGAATCCTGATGCTAACATTCTGGTGCCAATGCCGACATCATAGAGGTGCATAGTTTTTGCAGTGGAGGTGCGCCCGAGAGGTGCAGGAATCTGACGCCAATTTTCTGACGTCAACACCATAAAAAGATGTAGAATTTTTGCCACTTCAGTGTGTACCCTAGAGATGCAGAATTTTCGCCGCCGAAATGACGTGCATAAGTGGTGACATAGAGGTGCGTTGCGAGAGGTGCGTGCGGAGTGCGTGCTGAGTGCGCAGAAGTGCAGCCGATGCGTGCATAGAGGTGCAAATTTTTTGCCACCGAGGTGCAAGAGGTGCAGAATTTTTGCCGTAGAGAAGAACTCTATTCGTGCAGAATCCTGATGCTACATTCTGGTGCCAATGCCGACATCATAGAGGTGCATAGTTTTTGCAGTGGAGGCGCGCCCGAGAGGTGCAGGAATCTGACGCCAATTTTCTGACGTCAACACCATAAAAAGATGTAGAATTTTTGCCACTTCAGTGTGTACCCTAGAGATGCAGAATTCCGCCGCCGCCAAACTGACGTCGATACTGTTTGTTGACATAGAGGTGCAGAATTTTTGCGCCGAGGTGCGCTCCTAGAGGTGCAGAATGTTGACGCCAACAAACTGACCCGATGCCTAGAGGTGCAAATTTGCCGAGGTGCAGAGGTGCAGAATTTTTGCCGTCGAGAAAAACTCTATTCGTGCAGAATACTGATGCTGACATTCTGGTGCCAATGTCGACATCATAGAGGTGCATAGTTTTTGCAGTGGAAGCGCCCCCGAGAGGTGCAGAAATCTGGGGCCAACATTCTGACACCAGCACCATAAAGATATAGAATTTTTTCCACATTGGTGTGCACCCTAGAGGTGCAGAATTCTGAAGCCAACAAACTGACGCCGGCGCCGATGCCATAAAGGTGCAGATTTTTTTGTCACCGAGGTGCGAGCCCTAGAGGTGCAGTATTCTGATGCCAACAAACTGACGCCGACGCCGATGCCATAGAGGTGCAGATTTTGTTGCCACCGAGGTGCGAGCCCTAGAGGTGGAGAAATCTGACGCCAACAAACTGACGCCGACACCGATGCCATAGAGGTGCAGATTTTTTGCCACCGAGGTGCACGCCCTAGAGGTGGAGAATTCTGACGCCAACAAACTAACGCCGACACCGATGCCATAGAGGTGCAGATTTTTTGCCACCGAGGTGCGAGCCCTAGAGGTGCAGAATTCATTTTTGCCCTGGTGGGCACGGAAAGATGCCATACCCCCATGCAGTACTGTACGGGTACGCAATGGCTGGCTGGAATGCAAACTCCAACACATTGGCATTTTTGATGCCGGTGCATTTGTGGTTGGGATTGGATTTGAGTGGCACAACATCGCCACTTGATGCATTAGCAGAGCACAAAGATCCTTTCGGCAACTACAAAGAGTGACAGTGCAAACTTGAAACCAATCAACTTGGGGAGGGTGGTCTTCACTGTTGTCCGAGCAACCTTTACTAAGGGTCTCTTCTCAGCAGATTCTTGCATGCAATGTTTACTACACAAATAAATAACTCAAGCTGCCGTTACGGGTGCAGGGCCAACTGAAGCCAAACCGGGCATGTCCAGGTCGTAGATTCTAGGAGGACCAAGGTAATGCCAGAACCCCCAGCTGGGGTCGGCAAGGAGCAATTGCATGTCCTTCACAACAAGCGAATTGAGCAGCATCCCAGGGCTCAACTTCTTCCGGTACACCAACAGGGCCGCTACAAGGATCATGAGGACCAACTCTCGTTTGGACTTTTGCCAGAACCTACACTAGTTAGCCAGACCAACTCCACCACCTTTGCTTGGCTGGGCCAACGTGAGGGCCACTCTAGCTAGACTAGAGACCCGACTCACGGACCAACGCAGCGCAAACCCTTGACGACTCTTTTCCCCACCAATCCCGAGAGGTCCGGACCACACCAGGACGCTTGCCAGAACCAACAATTGACTACTGGGAACCCGAGAAAGCCCCTGGCGCAGCACCAGAACCTAGACCACAACACTACACCAGTCCAATGACAGGATCTACTCACATGGACCAGCTCCTGCTCCCACTCGCAGACAAACCAAGACTCTGCGCGCATCAAGACCGGTGCCCTACAGCTCGCGTGAACGCCTCTACGCATTCTTCAACGAATCTTACGCACTAAAGAACCAGATACCGTACGCTTCATGTTATCAAATAATCGTATGACACAGCTACTAGTAGTAAACGGTTACTATCCTCTCTAAGATGTGACCATCCTCCGCATCCCTCCTGGCTGTGCAACGCTCAGGCGCTTTTCTTTTAGGGCTGTGGCGGATACGGCCAACCCATTGTTGGACTTGATGATGCTGGTTCGCAAGCTTCTTCGAATCTTTCCAGTGCTGTTACTTCGAGGCAATCCCTCCCCTCGCACGTAGCCCGATCCCATTCGTTGAGGCAACTTTCGGGGCCTTCTCTTCTTGGTCGTTGTTTGCTCCTCATCCACGTTGCTTTCGTCGTCATCAAGGTTCTCCGTCAAGGACTCGTCGTGATTACTGAAGCTGCCGTTGGTGAAAGATTCCGACATGAGTTTCAAGCACGAGGAACCGAGTGAACCAGAACAAGAAGAAGACTTGGTCACCATAGTTGGTTGACTCATTGACATCAACTCGGCCAAGTCCAGTTCGTCTTCCTCGTCTTCCTTGATGGAGCGAATAAAAGCCACGGGGTCTTCCATTCCCAAGTCCGAGACCTGTCGCCGGTAATGGCAAGAGGAATCATCGGACTGCTGCTGCTTGGGTTCTTGAGTTGGCTGGCACATTGTAGAAGTAAGTGATGTTTGGTAGCTTGAAAGAACTAGAGCTGGAGTTGCTGTTTTCAAATGCAGCGTTTGGAATTTGTGAAAAGCACTTGGCACAAAAGAAATGGAGTTTATTGCTCGAGTTGGCAGCGTTTTGGCCACTTGAGCTGGCAGAACGACGGATCTCTTTTATTGCCGGTTTGTGATATAAGAGAGAGAGAGAGAGTCTGAAGTCTGAAGTAGCGATGGGGGAAAAACTTATGCTTCTTTTGTATTACCGAACCGAAGATGACTGATCATTCATGGTTCGTGGGATCAGAACTGTACCATTCGCGCTATGTAAGAAGAGCTGCAAGCTGCAAGAAGCCACCTTTGGAAAGCTGCACCTAGCTGGTGTGGGACAAACCATTGAATGGACCGGAGTGTAGTCTAGCTAGCTAGTGGTACCATTACAGGAGAACTCCAATAAACCTGCCTGCGAAGGCTGGACTGAGGATGCTAATCGTAAAATGCCATCAGCGCAATGCCACAACCACACGAGCATCTCGAAGCTCGAGTCCGCAGCTTTGCAGCTACGAGTATCTTTTGTCGTATGGTGTCGCACAAGAGCTGATCAAGTATCTACAGCACTTGTCACTTATTGTTGCCAGGTTTGCAAAAAACCAAAGACTGGTCTTGGATTGGTACCGTTCAGCCTTCTTACAGAATGTCAATAAATTTTGTGACTTTCTGGTCTTTCGGCCACAATCTTCAGTCATTGTTCATAAATGGCAGCTACCACTAGGTCTCTAAAACGTCATTGTGTCATTTCTCTAAGATGCTCGGGGCCATTCACACTTTTTTGCGAACTACTGAACTATTCATTGAAAAGGGATGGTACAAAGTGAGATTTAACATTAGTTTTCTCAGGTGTTCAGCCGAAACATGTACTAGTATGTGGTGATTTGTATTTAATTAATGGACAGACAAACAAACCCACCTTTGACAGATTCATTTTGGTGATTTGTTAAATCCTCGTACTCCCACGTGAGCTTCTGCGAATCAAATGAACGCCCTGCTTCGTCGAGCGGTCGCTGAAGAATGATCACAAAGAGCTGGTGTCAGTTATCGGTAGAGGACTGAGGTTGTAAGAAAGATATCGGTTACTAGCTAGTAGAGTTGATTGCTCGCATGGAGTCTGGGGTCGTCCAGGAACCATCTCCAGCATGTTTCCACTTTGGTTGATACCAGTGTTGAGCTTTGGTGTCCAGGTGCATACCGGTGGGTATCCGTCGAACTTGTTGATACCAGGATACCCTCACAAAATTGTTTACCATTACCACGGAGCAACCCAAGCAAACCAAGCAAGCTACAAAAGATCCAATCAATCGAATCATCATGAGCGCAGACGGATTTGCTTCCTTCATTCCAGATGATTTGCCTGGCTTTAACAGCCTCAATGGCAGTGGTTTCTTTGACCATACAAATTGGATGGACTTGACAGACTCCAATTCTGAGGACGACTTTGGTGGCGACGTCTTTTCAGTGGTACGATCACCATCGTCCAAGGGTGCCACAAAACAACCCCATCATGAGGGAGTGATCGTTTTCGAGGAAGAGGAGGAGGAAGACGAGGAAGATGGTGGTATGTTGAGCCAATTCGTGGCGGCAGCAAAGGAGGAAGACAAGGCACCAAAGCCATCCAGACGACGAAGCAACGGAGACAAGCCATGTCGTGGAGGAGCCGACCGAAGAAAGACAACTGATGGAAAGAAGAAGATGAGAAGGAACAAGTCAGTCGAGGATTGCACCGACGTCGTCAAGCCTCGTCCGCAAACCTCACGAAGAGCTCGAAGCACCGAGGGACCTCTTCCGAAAGATGGTCGCCGTGGTGGCAAGCCTTCGAACCGAAGACGATCAGAAAACTTTCAGAAGAAAGGATTGGACTTGGGGGCTAAGCTCGACCGCTTGGGAGTCAAGTCGGAAGCTGCCCCAGAAACCTCTCGTCGACGATTGGGACGACAACACAGAACCTCGTCCAACCCCAGTTTGGTAGATGAGGATGCTTCGGTCGGCAGCCGGCAAAGTGTCGGAAGTCGACAGAGTGTGGGAAGTCGTCGATCGGATCGCCGTCGCAGAGCCACTCAGAGCCACGACCTCTTGGCACGAACCCTGCAGCAGCTGGCCCCCGCGGGAGGACTGTACCAAAAGGGAATGGACGACTCTTCCAACAGAGAAGAGGCGTGGAAGTCTCGACGACGACGCTCGGAGCAACTGAGATCTACGACACTGCCTGCTGTGGCGGCATAAACTCTGACAGGGAGCACACAGCTCTGATAGGCACTTGGATTGATTGAATCATTCCCAAGGCTTGTAATGATAGCTATATTTAAAAGAATGCATATCACCTTTTTGAAACTCTGCCACTGCTGCGTAGTTCGGTACCGGTACCAGTGGCGGGTGACTGGGGCACTAATGAACGCTGCCATCAAAGGGGTGGACCCAATAACCACAGCCCCTCGACCCACGTTGGTGTCAACTGGCACGGCGACTGGCCCGAAGACGAGGACCCATTTCGCTTTTCCTCGGGTGCGCTGGCTATGCTACCTTCAAAACGCAACTGTACTGACTGTGCTGTGAAGCAAACACTTGGTTACTAATAAGCATATTGCTAATACATACATTCTTAAAAAAATATCTACTCAAACAAGCCAATCTTTTAAAAAGTATGGTACTGAGTTGGTACAAGCATCAAACTCATGTAGATTGTGTAGGGCGAGAGGTCGCGACCCCCTCCTCACTGTCACTTTGTTCGACTTCGTCCGCGCCCAGTGCACGCAGCCTTCGTTGCACCCAAACCGCTTTCTTTTCAGTCGACATCAGATCTGTCTGTGCTCGCTGGAATTGACTCGTTGCAATCACAGGAAGTTTGGCTGTGTCAAGATGCTGCACAGCCTGCACGGTTTGCAAAACCGAGCCATATCCAGCCGAGTGGCGTCGTCGACGGCTTCCCGTAGTAAGGCGAGAGACTTCCGTAGAGATACTCATACCGGCGCATGTTCTGTCGTCGCCGTCTACAGGGCTGAAAGGATCTTTGACTTTCGACAGCTTATCTCCCAAGCTGGGCCCTAACTTTGTTTGGCTCGAAGGGGTCGCTGTTTCTGGCTTGTCTTCAGTCAGCGGCGCAGATGCACCTAAGAAGTTCTGGAGAGAAGGCAGTGACATGGTAGCCTGCGATAGGCGCTTTTTTCTGGTACGTGGAGTCTCCAAAGGTGCAATTCCCTTGTTGTTATCGTTGTTGCTGTTACTTGAGCTTGTGTCCTTGCTTTCAAATTCGTTCACAGAAGTATGCCCCTTTTTGCTAAGCCGTGTTTGCGAGAACGGAGAAGATGTCCTTGAGACTCGAAAGTCGCTGACAGATAAGCTTCCCGCACTGTTGCGTTTCCTTGGTAATCCCTTCGATCCACGGACTCTGTCTCGTTCTCTCCGCCTAGTCGTGGTGAATCCCTCTGAGACAGTTTGGGCACTTGACCGTGCGGCAGCAGAAGATGGTTTCGATGACGTCAATGCTTCCCCTAGTGACATATGTTTAAACGGTCTGCCACGGCGTTTCGATGTTGTCTCTGGTTCCTGTTTGACACTGAAGAGGTCAGTGAAAGACGATGACTTTTTCATGCCTGATGGCCTTGCTCCACTGTCTGCGGCAGCCTCCGGTGATGGATTGATTGTTGTTGACAAGTCACGCATGGACTTGGATTTGTGTCGAAGCACTCGAGCCCTGCGAGGTGCAACTTTGGCAGGAGCCTGTGTCGAGTCGCCCACCGCTGCGCCTGGTGCAGATTTCGTCGTTCGGAGAGCCCTGCCCTTCTCTCGCCGAGTCGAAGTATGAGAAAACCCTTCTGAGATAGATTGAGCAGATGACCACTCGGCCACTGAAGCCGCCGTCGACGATGACTCCAGGGCCTCCACTAGAGAGAGACTGTGGAATGAATCCTTGCTACTAGCCGTTGTGGACAACTGCGTCTCAGGTTCTTGTTTCAAAGTGGAGAGATCGGTGAATGATGACGACCTCTTCACACCCAGTGTGGGAGTTTCACTGACTGACGATGCCGCCTCTGATGACGATGAATCCATTGTTGTCGATAGGTCCCTCATTGACTTGGATTTGTGGCGTAACACCCGCGCCCTACGAGGCACTACTTTGGCAGGAGCCTCAATAGCAGTGGGACTGACCGAAGTATCGGGCTGGGCAGCTGGTGTTTCCTGAATGGGGTGCAATCCGGGTACATCCTCCATCTTTTTGGAAGGTCGACTCTTTCGGACTTTTACTGGTTGGCTGTCGGTGGTGGCCTGCTGGTTGTCATCAGCAGAAAATCGCGTACGCGAGGTTCCAGTTTCCGAAACCGACATCATCATGGACCCCACTCGACTCTTTCGACTACGACTACCCGACTTGGAGGATGCCCGCGAACCATCGGAATTGGTCTTGCTTACCAGGTTGCGTTCCGACGAATGTTTTCGGTTCAACCGGTGGCGACTGGCGCCTCCTTCGGACACGGACATGGATGCTCTACTTTTCTTGGTCTTTTTGTCGTTTTCTTTCGTCTCCCCGACGTTGTTGTTGTTTCCCACGTTCTTTGCCGAAGAGTATTTGACCTTCAAACGTAGACGTTTTCCTCCTTCCGAAACGGACATTGTCGCTGTAGCATTGTGATCCGAAACGGTGAATTCCCGGGTCAAGGAATTATTCAATCTGTTCGAATCGGATACGAGGGCATCCGAGATGGACGAGAATCGTTTCGGAGATTGCCTCCTGGTGGAAGATCCCCTCTCCGACGCTGACACCATAATGTCGGCAGAAGAAAAGCGTTTGGGAGATTTTCTCCTGCTGGAAATAGTTCTCTCTGATGACGACATGGCGTCCACTGAAGCTATTCGTTTGGGTGATTGTCTCCTGGTCGAAGCCCTCTTGGCTTGTTGTTTGCTGCCACTAGTAACGGTATGTCTCCTACTAGGAATTGTCGACGAAGAAGCTGCTTCGGAATAGTCCAATTGGCGCAGTGACATAGACTTGTTTTTCCGGGACATGCGCTTTTTCTTGGACCCTTCTGTTGTTGTTGGCGAACCCGTGCTGCTTTCTTTGCTACTAAAGTCTCTCATGGACTGTGACATGTTCTTATTCGTGCCGGTATTCGACATGCGACTCTTTCTCGTCTTGGGGGGTTCCGGCGAAAACCGTTTCATGGCTTCATCGACATCAATTACAGCAGAAGACTCCTCGCTGTCTGCCAGAATGGATATCCCCGCACAAAGCTGAGCCAGAGCTGTCTTGGGTGGAGCCGACGTCCTCTTTTTTCCACCTCGTGGAGTCCTAGGTTGCTTCTTGCTGCTCCCACTAATTTCAGTGCCGGATTTGGCCCGTACCGATGTTCCTGCGACGTCGCCAAGGGTGTCACTGACAGAATGGGATTTACCCTGCCTTCGTAGCTGGTTCTTTCTACTACCGGTTGTAGACTGCGTTGGTTGTTGTTGAGGTTGTTGCTCTTCTTCTTGTTGCTGTTGTTGTTGCTGCTGTGCTTGTTGTGGTTGTGGTTCCTCCTGTTTGTCCATTGCGGATAAGACCTGATTGACTTTATGACTGACACTTCGTAGCGACTTGGCCTTTCGGTTCAGAGTGCGTCTCTGTTGTTGTTTGGCAGAACCTTTTTTCTTCGTGGTGGGACTGTTGCGCTTGTTGCCTTCAGGCGTTGCAGACATCTCCCCGTTCGTTGCTGGCGAAGAACTGTCATTTGGCTTCCTCTGAAGGGACAACAACGAGTCTTGCTGTTGGCCCTTTTCTTCTTCCTCGTCATTATCTGTCTTCTCTTGCTTGGCCCACTCGGTGTTATCCGTGGTATCCCAAAAGTCTTCTGCCGTGGTATCAAAGAAACCGCTGGCGCCAAGACTATCTCCAAACCCTGGCAAATCCCCGTATTCCTCGAACAGGACACTGCCACCTGTCATTGTCTCGGGTTGCATCAGTCAAATTAATGGCAGCAGTCGGTTGGAATAAGCTGATCGGAAACAGCGATGCTGTTTGATCAATCGAGCGGCTGTATGTTCTGCTGTTGTCCAGCTCCAGATTCTCACCAGAGCTATTCTCATGTGGCGATCCGTGACAGAGCAAAAAGTGCACAGTGGTGGGACCACCAGTCTATTGTGACTTGACTTTGTGACCTCAATCGAATTTATCAATTTTAAAATAACTACCAGTACTAGTACACCTTACCGTACTCACAGGCACTCGTACACTCTTACTGTACTGTAATACTGTACCATTACCATACCACTACTAGTACATTTTTAAGGAGTGGCATGAAGAGACAGAAAAGAAGTCACAAAATCTTGAAGTTATTCTTACTCCTAATTAAATTAGGTTCACCAAATTTAAGAGTGGCGAGTACGTACTTGTACCGGTTACCTGTACGATTGTACGGAATCAAGTGATCATGACAGTCGATGAATTGATGTCGAACTCGCACCCCCGTAAAACGGGGCTTATTTAAGAAATGCCAATGGCTGTTTTCGGACACACCGATGAAACTGAGTCTTTAATGGATCCATCACCGGTTAAATAAAAAACGTTCTGAAGCATCTTGCTGTGTGTTCCAAAAAAGCCCCTTGTATGTCCAGTCCTGGAGTACCAGTCTGGTAAGTACACCGTGACCCGTGACAACCTTAAAAAGACCACAGAGCTGTAAGTGACACCGATACCTCGGGCGAGCTGCTGTTTTGTGGGAGATGGCCCACAAAGTTCCAATCTAAAGATATTCTACGTAAATGTAGAATCGAATTTAGATTGCTCATGGCAGATACTCAAGGTCAGTCCACCACTGCTGATACCACCGGTAGGCGAGCAAATTCCTGTGCATGTGCACCTGGTCTGTTAGGCGCTTCATCCATGTGAGGCGAGACTCTTTCATTGTGAATACTAGTTACTCACTGACTTATTGTTCTCAGCAGGTGAGTTTGCATAATGAGGGAGTCCATTGCGATAAGTGAGTTCATTTACACCAGGACTATCCAAGCAAGGTCAATTGGCAGATCAAGGAAGTCAGGGGAATTGAACGGAACTCAGTGTGACCCATCCCTGTTGCTAATTTTAAAATTAATCAATCATCTATAAAAGGGATCATTAGACAACACCGTACCTACCCAAGTTGTTACCGATACAGGCTGGAAAGCCATCTGAGAGTTACTAGCTAGCCAGTGACAGAGGACTCCCGTTCAGAGATAACCAGCAGTGTGGCAGGGGAACACAACGGGATCGTAGACTGAGGACTCTAGTTCTGCCGAGAAAAGAGGAGAGGCTTCCGACGATAGGGTCTTGTTTGGTTTTGGTGCTCAGCGGCCGCCAAGGCGTACTGGGGGAAGCCTCCACACCGGCGTTGTCATGTCTCACGAGAACGATATTACGACGACGGGACAGAGTTCGACCCATTCGGTGTATGTACCAACTGCACCGTTGTCATTTCTGTCATAAGGAAATGCTTCCGCAGTTCGATTCTTTGATAGGAAGAAGGAGAGAAGCCAACGCAAACCATGCCCGGAAGTTCATTGACCACCACCCTATGGCCCATTTCAATGCCAAGATCGGCTTTGGCGACGACACGATGGGTTCGAGGAGTCCAGGCAAGTGGCGAAAGCTAAGGCCGAAAATGTATGGATTACCGCAGAAGAGCTCATTTCAATGTCAACATCGTCCATGACGAAACAATCGACGAACATTGCTTATGATGACCATGTTCAATTTTTGCTGTCCCGTCACCTGTAGCAAACGGAGGGGGGATCATTTTCCGCCCACCGGATCTGTTGGTAGAGCGGAGTTGGGTACTTGAGGATTGAAGATTCGATTCAGACAAGTAGGTTCAGAATTCAGAGCAGCACAAAATTTGATGAATACCAGTTCCACAAGCTCTGAAGCCTTGCACAGCAAATGCTGGGTCTTTGTGGGGTCTTCGTAGGGAGCGGCAAAGCCATCAAGCCATCCTCAAGACCACCCGGCAGCCCGGCAGGGAAACAAGAGCTCGAAACAAACAGAATTGCGAATTGGCTCCCCAGAACTCGCTCTTCCGGAAGATCTGTCTAATCTCCAACAGCTTCTCCAACCATAATATGCGGAAGAACAATGGCATCAGCTAAGCTCTATTTCGTTTAATGAGGCCTGCAGTCATCACGGTAAAAGAACAATTCTCTTCTGCCGCCGAGCATGATGAGGATATCAGGCCGGTGCCAGCCGAGAGTGGGAAGAATGCAGAGGAACCCTGATAGAAGTTCGAGGTCAGGAAGTCAGGAATGAGGAAGGTTTTGCTTTGGGATACAGTATCTTCTTTTCATGGCAAGATGGCAAGAGAACACGAGAACTCGTGTCGCATGCATGGGTAGTGGGCTTGTCCCGGCGGCCGCTCCGATGGGAGGCAAAACCCGCAAAACTCCCAGTACCAGTTTCGAGAAAGGGAGCAGGAGCACAGCAAAATTTTACCGGTATGCACTCGTCAATAGTCAAGAAACCATACAAACTACAAACGACTTAGCACGGTACCGGTAGAGGAGTGTCGCTGGCTGTATGCCGTAAGCTGCCGCACTGTGTTAATACCGTTGCATCCGCCTATGCCAACTGCTCTGGCTAAATGTACCGTAGCTAGATAAAAACATGCATTGTGGAAGAGCAGGAACGGTGGTCAACAAGCTCTCACCACCGAGAACAGCTCCTCTTGATCCTGAGATCCGATACTTAACAAACTCCTTTTCATCCAATAGAGCAGTTCGCATAAGTCCTTATTCCGGAAAGCCAAAGATTAGGGATCGATCCACTAGATCATCGGAGGACATCTTTCGCATTAATTGCCGCCATCGACAGAAAACGCACAACCGTACCGTGTCATCCGTCACACGTGTACCGAGCAAGCGCGTCGGAGGGGGGAGACAACGGTGGAATTGAGATTTCAGTAGAATGAGGTAAAACAGATCATAGTACATCATTTCACAGTAAAATAATAGCCATAACCCTACATTTACCTCTTCTACATACTATAAACGTTATTGGACTGTTACAGACAACCAAAATGAGCCTCTTCGGATACTGCATTGCTTACAGATGTTACGGTAGTCGCCATTTCGGAGAAGCCTTCAGAAAATTGCTTTGCGAGATCTAACTCTTTTTGTGAATGCCACAGAAAGAGGGGAAGAGGAATTTCTCGGAGAGTCTCCAATTCAAGAATTCGAATGACCATCAAAGCTGACCTTTATTTCGTTGAAGGCCCCTCAGACTTAAAAGGTAGTCTTAGTATTAGACATGTATAGGGAGTTTGTACAGTTGATCTTGCCAATCATGTGAAAGTTGGCCATCGAGCTTAACGATCACATATTCGGGAACAGAAGGTTCCCGAATCTGTACGGCTTTTGCTTTTGCTAGCTCGTTTGATTTTGACGATGTCATGTTCTTCAACTTTTAAAATTAATTAATTAATTGCCAACACACAACACACTCTGAATCAGATCTTGGAGGTTGGAGCCTTGGTGGCCATCAAACTTCTGTATTGCGCGGTCGAAGATCACACATCAGCATCAGCTACACATCACACAAATAAAAATTGGCCGAAGCACTTTGTACCCTCAGCTTATTACACCACAGCCATGCTTCCACCTCTCTCTCGCGAAACATCAAGCACCACCATGGCTTGTTTCACGGGAAGAAAGTGTTTCCCCAACCGATCCAAGTCGACTGGAGGCTTGACCCTGGCGCTTCGCTTGGTTGTCCAGATGCAGAAGCCCATGATGAGAAGTCGATCAATGCCTGCGCTCCTTTGCAAGTCACAACAGCACTGTCAGGAGCAGGTTAAGCCCCGGAATTCGTTAACATCGATAGTTCCTGTGGTTAATACTGCTTCTATTCCTCCTCCCTTGTGCCGTTGGTCGTCTGCTCCTCCCAGCGATCAAATGATCAACAACAGCAGCAGCCACAGCACTGACAGCACAGAGCAGATGATCAGACGGAGAAGAAGCCTCATGGCACCTCCCACCAAGCCTCTTCGATACATGATGAACATGGCTACCATCAAGTCGCTGCCCCCTCGTCTCCCCAATAGAAAAAGCGGCAAAGGTGCCGAACTGCGCTCGGCTCTGCCACCCCGGGTCCCTCAACGAAAACCTGGAGAAGCCACCATTGAAGCCAAGGCCCTACCACCGTTCATGCCTCGAAGATGCCCCATGGATGATTCTTGTGATAATCTAAGCTTGGTCAGCACTCTCACCATGGGCAGTGCTGCTGCTCACATAGACGAAGATGATACAAGCGACGGCGAGTCGTCTCTTTCAGATCTGTTGCCCATTTGCTTCGGCAGTCTCACATCATCATCAGAAAACCCTACCAGTGTTCGACACAACCTGCGAGAGGTGCTCGGACATGTGCTGGACAATCTGGATGATTCCCTCTGCGACGGAGACTTGTATTAGTCAAACGGGCGGCGGTCCAAACAAACCAAAAGGGGGAGCAGAGCTACAAGCTCACTACTTGACTACTTACTTTATTGCACTTTTATTTTAAAACAACTCTACTATAGACGAATTTTCATACCATACCAAAGGAACGTTGCTGCTAGCTAGACTAGTGTACTGGATTAGCATTTCGTCAGCAACGAGCTCCTGAAAAACATTCCTTTGGAGTCCTGTCGGGGACAGCATCAGGCCGCTCTAGCTAGCTAGTGTTTATGCTTGGAAACACTGCTGCCACAGGTATCTTCCTAAAGAGATGGGACTACGAGACTTCAACAAACAACTGTTTCGTCGTCAAATAGCAATCAAGTCTATCGCATACATAGTCCGTATCTTCAAGGCAAGCAAAGCATCGGCAGGCACTCTGTACTGATTACCAGCAGAGCAGACCATCCGATACGAGAAACACTGTCGTTGGAATGTTGAGTAAGTGCCGCAGCAAGTGGCTAGCTAGTCTAGTTCCCTTCGACTGGCTACTAGCTAGGTACGCTGTACCGTACTATACCGTTGTGCTATCGATACTTCCGTAAGTCAAGCCATCCGTCAGTGACAGAGCGTTGGCTACCGGTACTATGTAGCTACATGCCTACAACAATGTACCGGTATGTAGTAGACGGCTAGATAGTGAAATAATAGTACAGTAGTGGCCAGCTAGTTGGCCATCATGGGGGGACCTTCTCTGCGACGCTCAAAGGAAAAGGAGAGAAAGCTGAGCTGATACCGGTACCACCCAAGCTCTAGCTAGTCTACATCGTACGGTAGTAGCTAGACTAGACGTCTAGTCCTAAAATTTTAGTCAAATCATTCCAGCGACTGAATGATGAATGAGAATCGAATCGAATCGAATCGAATCGAATCGAATCGAAGAATCCTTCTGTAAAACTGTAAAATTTGACAAACAGTGTTCCCAAAAAGTATCTTAAATCTATAGATTTCCTTTGGTCTTACAGGTTAGTACGGTACTAAAACAAGTGAACAGTACAAATAATGAGACATGACTGGAAAGGACTCTGTGAAAGTCATTGATGACCAATTCATTGACCAGTGTGATAAAGAGCATTCCCCTGAATATCTCTTACGATTGAGGGCAATTATGGTTTCTCCCCAAAGGAAGTAGCGTACCTTTCAGAATTAATAACAATTTTTCTACGGAGAACGGCTGAAAAAGAACAGGTATACGAACTACTAGCTAGTATTAATAGTAGAGATCTAGTAGAAAGCAAATCTTGTAAGTACTAAGTAGCAGCTATCTTGTCTGGGATCTTGGACATTATTTGTTTGGCGAAAAGAAAACCAACTAATTTAAACGTTTTAAAATAGTAAAATATCAAATTGTATGCAGAAAACTCATATATCTGAACGAAAACAGTCAATTTCTCTCTTCAAACAAAGGCAAATTGAGTTAATGCCCCCAAAGCAACAAGGGGGTTCGTCCAAGTTGAAGGCACACCGGAGAATGACTTCCCCTGAACGGGGAGAATGACCGACCCCCGTCCGCAGTCCGCAGGCACTGATTGATCAAAGTACATGTAATAACCATCAACAAGGATTCGGTTCGCTGTGGGCTCTTGCGGTGCAGGTCAGGGTCCGATCCAACCAACTCTGCCGCAAAAGCTCGAGTGATTGACAACAAACCCACACAACACGAAGCATCAATATTCTCCAGATAGATGTATATCGAGCACGAGATAGTTGTTAGAAAGTGAATTCAATCTCAAAGCTAAGCGCAACATGGTAGACCTGGACCGCATGCAGACGCATTTTACTGCGTTGTTGATTGACGCCGAAAAGAACAATCATTCGTCTTTCACATCGTTCACCCTGGTGGCCGACAATCCAGTTGCCCCCAAACAAGTCAAGTCAGCAAAGGCCACACAAGGTCTCCCTCGACGATCCAAATCTGTTGGAAGTGATGCCATTGTGGTTCCTCGCTTTTCCAGGCGCCGCAACACCACCACCACCACCACCAACACCAACACGGCAAGCAACAGTAGCAGCCACAGCAGACCTAGGCCCACCAAGAAGGTCCCCAGACGATGTCGATCAGCGCCTTGTCAGATCCTCAAACGCGACACAACAAGCCCGATTGACCCCGCAGATTGCCCCCGTTGGAACAACGATACTTCTTGTGGCTGTGCCCCAAACTTTCACATCAAGTGTTCCAAACCTGGGTCCAAGGCTCCTCCACGGGTACCTCGCAGATCTTCGGATGACGATCTGTGGCCAATGGTGGTTAAGATCAATAATAAGTCAAGCCATCCTCCGAGGCGACCACGACGCAAGCGGGGAGACGCCTTGGTGGAACCAAACGCCATGCCTCCCAGATTCCCCTCGCGAAAGCCGGATCTCGAAGTGGATGTCTATGGAAGCATTGCAGCATGAGGAGTGAAGACTTACGACATGCACAACACCAACCACACCACACACACCACACACAAGAAAACAAATAGATGTAACCTTATATAGCTTTATAGAATTGGCTGAGCAAGTACTTTTAACAAACGAGACTGGCACTGCCGCCCAGCTATTGTAGCGGTACTGTTTGCTGGTCCAGCACAAGAGGTAGAACTTCAGGAGACCGCATCGATGAGTACGACCACCTGCCACAAACCTAGTATTGTAGCAGTTAGAACATGCCTATTGGCATTCATTCTTTGCTGAGGGCTTATCGGCCCCAAAGATCTTCATTTCTTCCTTCTGGCCTATCTCCAAAAGATCTCAAAGTCAAACCGTTTTTCTCTTCTCCTCTTCCTAATCCTTCTATCTGATGGGCATGACGTACGTTGCGACAGTGGCGGAAGCAGCTACAGCAGTGCCCAGCAGGGCGGTGAAGGAAATTTGCGCCTGAAGTGGAACCGGAGACTGGAATAAGTAGGGCATGCGCTCGGACTGGCATTGGCCTGCTGTTACCCTGACTGGCTATTGGTCCCGGTGAAGCCTGGGAGTTGGTCCTTGTATAGAGTTGACTTGGTAGGTACTGTCGCCGCTCCCTCCAGAGACATAACAGAAGGAGGTGCACGAGTTTTTTAGTGCTGGAAGAAATGAATATGGGAGTTATCCTCAAGTCGGTCTGGGAGCAGATCGTGGCGTGGGACCATTCGATGTTTTCTGTTGTGGGTGCCAGCATTCAAGGTTTTGTCAGGGAATGAATCGAATCCAGCCAGATACTGGGTGCCTGCGGTTAGTTCTTCCTGTCATTGGTTCGGGTGTGCCACTTTGGGTGGGTCAAGGACCTGGGGTGAAGGCCCAGGAACGGTACCAGCAGAGGGGCCTGGTCTCGGAGTGGGGCCTGGTGAAGCAAGCACTTGGAGTTGTTGATTGCATGGGTCCTGAGTTGGACCAGGTAGGGGGCCTGGTGGGGGCCCAGGAGTTGATTTGGGTGTGTCGTCTCTTGAAATTGAGCCAGGTATTGGTCTGGGAATGGGTCCTGGATTGGGGGTGGAATACGGTGCCGGTACAGTAACGCCTGAAATTGGACCAGGAGCAGCGCCTGGTGTAGTCCTGGTTTGTGTCCAGAAATTGGGGATAGTCCTGGTTTGTGTCAAGAACCTGGGGATAGGTCCGGGAATGATGCCTGATGTTATTCCTTGAGTTGACAAGAGTGGAGTGGGTCCTGATCTGAACCACAGACTTTGAAGCGAATGATGAGGTGCTTCGTTGGTCGTGCATACAACGACGGCAGCTACAGCACTGCACCTGCCCGGCATTTCCCGTGACACCCTGCAATCTAGCTAGCTACGCTTGAACTGGCACGCACAGTATTGTAGAAATTCTGAGGCGCACAGTGTTATATAAAGATGAAACATTATTATAGTTTTGCACAAAGCACGCTAACTATGCGTTAGTCAAGCAATGTGTTCATCGGAACGGTTTATTCCTTCGATGTTGCTCCATCGCGGCCATGAGATCTCCTTGTCCCGCACCACCAGAAAGGTATTTCCGCTTGAGAGCTTCCATCGTGCCACTCTCATTGTCCGCTTCCTGAGATTTGCCATCCGGGTCAGTACCTCCTTGTCGGCTTTTACCGTTTCCGGACTGCATGGATGACAGGAGAGATGACATGATGGGATCCATACCAGCACGGCTGCTGCCAGCACCTCCGGATGCAGCTGCCACACTTCGCATGAAATGTTCTTGTTCGCTGTTGCCGCCACCACCGTTCCCGCCCAACAGATTGCCACGGCTCCCACCCTGCTGCTGTTGTTGCTCCAGCAGCTTCTTCTGCAGAAGGAACTGCGCAATTGCAGTGTTCTCGTCCGATCCTCCCGCCGCTGGTGGGTCCGAACGACCACGGTCTCGTTCCGATCTGGAGCTGAGGCTGTCTCGCTTCGAAGCCCCCGCTGCTGCTGCAGAAAAGCTAAAGTTTTGATTCAACGAGGACGGCGCGGAAGCTTCCAATCGTCGCAAGGCGTCGTCATTGTTCAGCAAGGACGCGAGGTTGAGACCACTGTTGCTGAACGCCGTTCGGATTTGCTCTGCTGATCCCAAGGATTGCATGAGATTGCTGGCGGTTGCGGAAGATCCTGCACCACCTCCCAGCTTGCCAGCCAGCAAGTCCAGCTCGTTCATGTTCAGCGACGACATGATCGAGGACGACGCTGCAGACGAATGTCCCAAGCCAGCTGCTTGACTAGGAGTCCAATTGCTGTTGTTGTTTTCGCCGCCGGATCCAGTAGCCGCTTTCTTGCCATCTCCCAACAAAGGGTCCAGCAAGGACCCCATGCTTTGAATCGACTGAAGACGGGACCGAATAGCCAAGTTCGAAAGCGAATCAATGCTGCCTTGTCGTTCAATGAGGTTGGACATGTCAATGCCAGACCCCAGTGAAGAGTTGCGAATGAGGGTGGAAAAGGCACTGGCATTCTGCGATGCCCCGGCAGCTTGCTGAATAGAGTCTTGAAAATTGGCCAGGGAAGATTGACTGATGTTTCCGCCGCCGCCACCGAGACTGGCCACAAGATCCTTGAGGGAAGACCGCTTCCTCAATTCCGCGGCAAGCTCGGCACTGGAAAAGTCTGCCAGTGGCTTGCCGTTGATACCACCGGGCGAAGCAGCTGGCTTTGCAGCTGCCGCCTTTTGATCATCATCGTTATCGTTGCCGCCTCCGTCGCCTCCACCCAATCCGAGACCACCGCCACTTTGGAGCAGAGCCCTCCCAGCAGCCGCGGCCCTTGAGTTGGATTTGTGCGTGTGCTGAGTGGTGCCTGAAAGAAGAGGATTATTCGTGGACTGCTGCTGTTGCATGAACATTTGAAAGGCCTCGAGAGAATTGGAAGTGTTCAAGCCAGCCGCTCCCATGCCAGCCATGTTGCCAGCGCTGTTGCTGAGATCGGCAAACAGACCGGACAGGCTGTGACTTGACGCGAGACTGCCGCTGCTCGGGTGTCCAGCGCCCAACAAGCTGACATTGCGAGGCAGATCCGCAAGGCCGGCACCAGAAGGATTCGAGGCTTGATTGAGCAGGTTTCGCAGCTCCAAGCCACTGGCACTGACACGGTTGATGCCACCTGCGGATCCCATCCCACCGCCTCCACCCAACGAGGTCAACGAAAGATGAGGATTAGCAGAAGTCTGCTGCCGTTGCTGTTGCATCGCTTGCATTTGCTGCTGCATCTGCTGCTGTGCCGCGGGTGTGGCCGATGCTCCCGTTTTGCCTTGAATCTTGGCCAAAAACTTGCGTTCCAGGTCACAGAGCTTGGCTCGTCGTTCTCGAACTTGTTCGTTGCTCAACCGATCGCTGCCCGTTCGACGGGCGTAGACCTGTTTGCCATTGTAGTTGGAGCCAACAAACTTCTTGGAGATTCGCATAGGATGACAATTCAGCATCTTGGAGAGAAAGGTACGCAGCGAAGTGCCCTCCGCAAGCGGCATCATGCCCGTCTTGAATTCATCGATGAGACAAGCAACATACTCTTCCTCCTCTCGCGTCCATTTCCCTTGACGGAGAGGAGGGTCGTTGCCATTCTTGCTCTTGGCACCATTGCCAGCCGCTGATATGCTCGCCAGGAACTGAGGAGAGTCCATTGTGGAAGAAGGGTAGAGGCAGTTGGGAGGTCTTGAGGAGGACGAAGCGAAGGCAGTTTACCTTCGTGTTAATGTTGTTGTCCTTTACTTTACTTTGCGGAGAGAAGCACTTTGCCCTTTACCTTCGATACAGCTATTGATATGCCACGATAATGTAACAAGTCTTAATTCACCATCCCCAGAGCAATACGAACTTCCCGTCGCCACTTTTAACTTCTGTTTCGGTGGCTGTTGGCGTTCGAGGTGGGCTCTCAGACGCTTGTTTGCGCTGAACGGTGAAGTGGCGTGTCCAAAACCAGTTGTTTGTTAATGCTGAGGCCTTCGTGACAGCGTAAAGTCAGTACTGGAGTCTACTGAGCAAGGTTCCCCGCAAGGAGAATTCTTGGTGGTCAAGGTGCGAAACAGAAACCCTCCGGTTTCGCTGGATGAAAAAGTACCTCACTCTTGCCTCTTTTACAAGATAACAAATCTTTTGTAAACGTTCGAATCGATGGGATTAATATCTTAATACTAGGGTGATATTTAAACACGCTGTGCCGGAATTTTGCTCCCAAGCGTTCGATGACCAGAAAGCGAGGCCTCAAAATCAGATGACCGGAAGGGAAGTGGGATTAAATAATGAATTAACGATCAACTAACCATAATAAAATATTTCTAAGCCATCTCTCTGGCTGGACCAGTGGGCCTTAAACCGGTAAACAAACCGACATGCGTCAGGAGAATGTCTCCCTAACACTCCCAATCGCCCCTCCTCGAAACAATCGATGAAAAGTTTAAAAATATTCGATGGAATCGGCTTCCAAAATGCAATTACATTGGGATCAAGTCTGCGTCCGGAAATCACGGTGGTCCGTTCTCTGTCAACGGATCTGTCCGCAGTTGCGCAGTATTGGAGCACTTCTCCTTCAATTCTCCGTTTCCCCGAAGAACTATTGTCGCTTTGTTTTTGTTTGAAATAACGAAGTTTTATTGTTGCTGGTTACGGTGACAGCTCTGCTGATTTCAAAAGTGAACCAGTCCAATGGTCGACTTCACTGTATTTTAATACAATACAGTACAGTACAGCAGAAAGGGGTTGAGAACTCATGCATGCAGTCAACGCGTACGGTACGTGTAACATCCTCAGAGATCACCGGGGTTTGCGCGATAGACAGGGTCAGAGATCACCGGGGTCTGCCCGGAATAAATAGCCAGACTACTTCTAAAGCAAAGTACAGTACAGTCGTACCATGTCTACCGCGAATGGCAATGATGAGGAGTTTGATATTCCTGAAACGCTTGTGGATGGACTTCTACGAAAGCACGGGTGGAGCGAAGAGTTCACCAACAGAGCCCTTGATGGATACCTCCAGTTTATGAAACGTACAGCTGGAGGATTGGGAAGCGACTCAGTTATCACCTTCCTCGACCGTTGATAAGGTTTGGCATCGACACATGCTTTATCCTGCCCATTATGCAAAAGCATGTCAAGACTACACAGGAGGCCACATCATTGACCACAACCCAGATGGTGGCTTGGATGCAGCTGCTAGAACCAGACGTCTTCAAAACACACAAATTGGCCTGAGGTCTCTGTTTGGCCGCAATGATGTGGATACAGAGATTTGGAGCTTGAGCAACCGCAAGAGAGGACGTGATTCTAATCAAGAAGATGCCGAAGAAAGTGGAGAAGCAGCAGCAGAGGAAGATGATGATGAGAACATTACATTCCAAATTCGCTACTTGAATACGGGATCCATAGGAACCACAAAGACCTACACAATCCACAAAGGCGCAATGTTTGCAGATTCCTTGGTGAATTATAAAAGTATCAGTACCGCTCCCATTGAGTTTGTTTTTCTCTATCATCAAAAACGTGTCATTGGCACTTGTACCCCCGAGTCGATTCGAATGCTTGACTTTACAACACCTTGTGGTCATGTGATTACCCCTAGTAAGGAAATCCTTGCCTGCCCGCCATTACCACCCAGTCAAAACAACCCCGTGACACTTCGTGTTCGCGACCAAACAGGAGAGGAAACCTTCTTCAAAATTAGGAAAAATACACGCATGTACAAGGTCTTTGAAACATATGCCGACCGAAAGGGCGTTTGGGTCAATGATCTTCGATTTCTTCTAGATGGAGCAAGAATTGAAGCTTGGCACACACCCATGGGGCTCGAGTTGGATGATCAGGACCAGATTGATTGCATGCTGGAGCAGACGGGATGTTAGGAAGTAAAAGATTTGATCAATCAGCCTGGTGGATGTCTTCCTTGTTTCCTGCGTGCCGGGGCTCCTTATGCCGACTTCAACACAACTACATACTCATCAGGCCAAGTGACGGTTCATACCCTTCAGACGTCAACACGTGAATGGGTACCCAAAGGGCAAGTTCTCAATGACATTAATGCTGAATATTACTTTAGATATGCGGTTGCGCTTTCTGACAGTGGCGACATTTTAGCGGTTGGTGCTCCTCAAGCTACCGAGTTCAGGTTTACCGGGCCAGGGTATGTGCGCATCTACGAATTTGATTCCACAAGCGACCAGTGGGTGTTGCATACAACTATCAATGGATGGTTTGCTAGATTCCAAGATGGCCGTGGATTCGGCCATTCCCTAGGGTTGAGCGGAGACGGGCTTGTGGCCGTGATCGGTGCTCCGGGCTACTTGGACGCTGATTCGGGAAGGACACGAGGTCTCGTCGAGCCCTGGGTGCGTAATTCTCCCTCATCAACCTCCTACAGTTTTTTGGGCTTTACTCTGTGCCACTTGTGGGTCTAGTGGACAGTGGCTTCGCGTCTACATAGGCAGTGTCTGGCGACGGCCAAAGCTGGGTGGTTGATTTCTTTGGTGTGTCGGTTGCTATTAATGGAGATGGGTCGATTGTGGCTGCTGGGGGATCTAAAAATGATGGCAACGACGGCATTCAATCAGGACATGTCCAGGTGAGGAGGTTTGACAGTGGTCTCTGGGTCCCAGTCGGAAGGTAAGAACGATTGCTGGTGGAGAGAGATTGACATTGGAGCAGCTGTGGGGTTTTGGTCTCATTGTTATGAGTCGCAGTTTTATAGCCGGCTTACTACCGCATGGTTTTCTCTCTGGAACACCACGCTGCAGTTCTTCCAACACAAGGTTTTAGGCGAACGACTCTGAGAGCTTGGCAGCACCTCCTTATCTCGCTCCCTGCCTTTCAAGTGTCAATGCAATGCATTTGATGGAAAGATGGAAAGGTTGCCGGTTGACTTTCACTTCTTGCTCCAAGCCAGTGAGATCCAGTGTCAAGTTTCAAGCCAACATGCAGAGAAAAGATCCACTGAGAGCAAGAAACTCTGTCAATTTCTGGACTTGCTAGCACTACAGTATGGATTTTTTTTTGGTATGGGGCTCCCAACACTTGAAGCAAGACATTTCAAGACAATGCTTGAAAGGATCCGGCGCTGGTGGACTCTAGATGAAGGGAACGGACTTGATCGATCAGGAACATAGTTTTGTTTCGATACCGGCACCCTGCCTCCATGGTACTGGAGTACTTCTCATCAGTAGCGCCTTTTAGTGAGCCATTCCTTCGGAGGCACTTCGGCAACCGGAGACGCTAAAAAAAAAAAGAACCGCCGCAAAGAGCTCGAAAGATGAAGTAGTAGTCTAACTTCAACCTGCTGATCCAACTAATTAACACTTGATTGAGCTCGGGAGTCAAAGCATTTCCGCGACCTATCATACATGTACTACGGTAGTACTGTACGCTTCAACCTATTCCTTTGTCACAAAATCCAAAATCCTGGAGTAAAGGAAGCACATTGAATACATACCCTGAAACTGTTGGCTGGCTATCTATCTAGCAAGTAAACCAGAGATCAAGTCCACCAAATTTTACTGAAAGAAGTCAACAATTGAGAAGAACGATTCATCCAGCAGAATTCCGCCTATGCATCACGGCAAATGGACCTCAGAGGAAGAGGCCTACGTTGAGGTCTTGACAGAGGCATTCAAGGCTGGCATAGTGCCAATTCCTGAGGGCGCGACCCTTCGTGTATTCCTTGCAAGTATGCTAAACTGCCCAACGAAGCGCATCTCAAAGAAATTTGTCGGTACGAATTATCATGGCAAGAGGGCCTACGTTCGTAAGCGTGTTGGAGAGTACGATCCCGAGGTTGCCAAGGGTATCCGCGAGCGATTGCGTGAGATGGAAGGAAGGTTCATCAAGTCCCTGAAACCTCAGAAGCGAACTCCCCAGCGACCACTACAAAAGGAGGAACCCGCAGAGACAAAGAGGGTATTCGAAGCGAGGTCTGAAGATCCCACTGACATGCTCAGATCACCTCTTGGGGCGCGCCCTCAGGGACATTCGCAACGTGTGAAAATCTCCTTGGCCGTTCCAGCAGCCAAACCAGCAGTGACAGGAACTGTCGGCCAGGCAACGAACACCCCCCTCCTGGGGCGCTTCGAAGAATGTCTCCGGGCTGCAATGGAGAATCTGAGGACCAAACCGGCCCCCGCCACGACCGCAGCAACATTGTTCACGAAGACGAGCAACGAACCAGCGACTGGAACGTCAACTAATGACTTCATTCTCGCTATGCTTAATCAGAGACTTCCTCCCCCAACCGCATCGTTGCAGACACTGGATGCAGCGACCGGTCCCTCATCGAAAGCGTTCACGAACTCTCTTTTCCGCAGCCTCCAACTCCAACAGAAATTGGGCAACACCACCGCGCAGTTGAAGGCGGCCATGGGACCTCCCACCATGCCCAAGAACTAACTTGTCTCTCAGCAATTTTTGCACCAAAGTCTGTAAGGTTTGACTCCCTAAGATCCTATTCATGATAGTGATAATTCTACATAGAAACTACATACATGTACACACACACACACACGCCTTCATAACAAGGTTGATGTATAGCTATCGAGAAGCAACACCAAGCAACTAGCTCGTGTCGACAAATCCTGGTACATCATCTTTCTCACAAGTAGGCGTTGCGTTGAACCGTAGCCATGCTTCACACCGTCAAATGGAAGTCATAGAATCATTGCAAAAAGGTAACTGAACTAACTGTTGCTTTGAAGGTGGCAGGTGATGTCTTTGGGTTGGAAGTTTTGGAGAACGTGGCCGAAGTGTTCTTCGAACGAGGTCAAAGTGTTCGCCCTTTCTGATTCTGAGGTTTCCTTGCCCCAATGTATTCCATTTTGGCGTTGACGCCCTGGGTGCAGTAGATCAGTAGTTTGTGCCTGCAGCAGTTGCTGTATGCTGGGCAACTGCCATTCATTCTTTTTGCCTGGTCTGTATTTGCAGGGTTCATTTTGGAGCTCAGTGGAGGTGACATCTTTGGTGAGCTTTCTTGATAGGGCGCCCAAGAACATCTCTCTAAAGTTGGTAAATTGATGGTAAGACATGGCGGTTCTGATCCTTTTGAGATGTTGATTACCTTGTACCGGAACGGGCGTTGCCCATGTATTGGCGTTGTCCATGCCTTCTTCGAGCACCCTATAGCCCATAGAGAAGAAAGATGGGTTCCGGTTCCGTTGCTTCGTTTCTCTGTCTGGCTCGTTTGTCATGTCTTGTTATGGCTTGGAATATCACGGCACTTCCTCATGAAGAGTAGGCACCAGGTACAGCTGTGCATGTAGCCTGATTGATACCAGTCCAGCTTTGTTTAGTGAATGGAACTGCCTCCGTTGTCCGCATCCCGCATCCACACGAAGCCCACGCGAGGGAATGGTACCGGTATCGGGTCCAAGCTGTGCGGTAGCGTCTTCAACGTGTTTGCCCATGTGTCCCATCGGTACTCTGGTGCCTGTATAAAGCGACGACGGAGAGACTAGCTAGGTAGCAAAAGACAACACAAGCCTAGAATAAAGAATAAAACCAGCCGATCACTACGAGCGTCCTTTTATATCTACTGCCTCTCAACATTTTCGAATGGCGACAGTACTTTCGTAGTCTCGTGCTTGGTAGCCTAGCAATTTGTTCCGCAGCGCCTCGCGAACATCATCCGCAGGACGACAATTGCTGCTGTTCAATCCAATTGAGCAACAGTGTCTTATCCTGCCCGCTTGTCCGCATAGCTGCGTTGGCGAGCACCGCACTTCAAAGGTGCAGCATTCGCATAGTTCCCTTTCTTGGTAAGTTCGTCTTGCAATGCATGGACATGCCCAACTCTTCCTCCTTACCACGATATTTGGAGTTCCTCCATGGATTGCCCCAATATCTCATTGACAGTTCGAGTGGGAGAGGTCCGCGCTGCCGGCAATGGCTTGGCCATCACCGGACCGCTATCACCGGACCCATGTCTTCTTTGATGTGACGCGGATCGAAAAATTTCCTTGAGTGAGTTTTCAGATGACGAATCGCTTTCTCGCGTTCCACCCGAGGACTGAGCATTGTTCGTCACGGAAAGCTTCTTGGAGTGCAACAACATCTTGTCCAAAGACGACGACGTCGCAGGTGACTGAGCATTTTGGTCGAGCTCCTTGCAACGACGGTTCTTGTGGTTGGTTCGCTTCTCCGTTCGACTACTACTGCTACTAGCGCTTCCGTTGCTGCTAGTTCTCTTTGGTCTTTGGGGCTTGTCATACTTCTTGCTGCGTGGCGGCGGCTCCACGCGAATGTCTTTCATCGTTGTGTCCTCGCCTCGATGTTTCGTGTTGTCGGACGTCTTGCGTCCTGGTCTCTTGGGTCTCTTCAGTGAACCGTCGTTGGTGTTCTTTTCCTTGCTACTGGACGGGTTACTATCCCATCGACAAGACCCTGCGCTGCTGTTGGACCCTGTACTGCCGGCACTGAGGCAGCTGTTGTTGCTGCCAGAGCTAAGTGTCGACGTGCAAGTCGAAATGGTCGATCGAGTATGACACGAAGAGTCGTGCATTTCGCTAATAGAACTCATCATCATCGCACCAAACGAATGGTTCGGTTCCCAAACAGGAGCAGGAAGCCGCGCATTGTCGAATATCACTTCTATTGGCGAACTGCTGTCGCCGTCTCCTTTCAATCGTTGGCCATTGTCGCTAATCTTCTTCTCTTCCAACAAGGCAGCAAAATACAAACTCAACGCATAGCTCATTGCTGGGTGGACTGAATACTACTAACTAGAACAGAGGAATGGACTTGCCGTAGCAACAGCAACAACAAACGTCTGAGCGTTTGTTCGGAAGGACAAGGACTGTTGTTGTCTACCCTTTGCAGGGAGAGACACGGTCTGCAAGCGCTGCTGTTGGGTGAATGGGTCCTTGGTTGTGGGCGGGGAACAGTTTTGATGTCGTTTGCAAGTTGCGAAGAGCTCAGCAACCAAGACGGTTACGTGGTGCTGTGGTCTTGGATCTTGGAGTAATAAGTCCAGAAGTGAGTAAAAGTTTTGTATTAATTCTGCTATTTCACTGAAAGACATAACATTCGCACCCATCTCACTTGAAAAGTATTGCCCCCAACACACCGTTTGAAAAATATATTTACCCAGAGCCCGGATAAACCTGTAAGATAATTTACAAAATTACAGGAATAGTTCTCGAAATGATGGGGTATTCTATCTTATTCGTGGTTTTTCAAGGGCAGACATTTTTGTACACAATGTTGCACATTAAACTGGTCAACTGGTGAAGTCAATAAGCAGTGAGTCAAGACACTACACTACGATGATTTATGTTGTAGGCATCCTCTTAATTGTCAAACAGGCATAATGACACTTTTTGCTTCACCTTTTCCAGCTACAACAGCATTTAATTAAGTTCAAAACTTATTGAAATTGTAACTGTGCATCTCTTACCAAGGTAGACTACATGTGCCTAGCCGGTAGGCAGCACGGCAGCACAGTAGCTCAACTATTAATAACGGTATCCACCACTAATACGGTATCTACCTGTATGTCTCAGGTACTCGAGTACTGTATAACAAACTTTAAAACTGTAGCAGCATTCCAAATCAATGGTTGCAAGATTTGAAGGCACTCCTTTGGCACGGTACGACTGTACCGTCGCATGTATAGACGCATTGGGGTGCGGGTGTAGAGGTGGCAGCGTGGCAGCGCCGACCAAGGGCCACAAGGCCACAAGGGGCTTTACGAGGGGCTTTTCCAAAGGGCTGATCAAAACGCTGACAATGATCTCTCCACTTTCTTGTCATCCAAGTCGTTGCCCTTTTAATTAAGGATCGCTCTTTGGACCGCGCTATGGCTTCGAGCACTACTGCCTACAGTAGGCAAACAACCGGTGCACCTCAACGCCTCACCGTGCCGCTATTAGCACATGTAGTGTAGTCTAGGTAGCTGGTATAATTGTACCGGTACAAGGTGGTGGCTACCGATACAAGCCGCCTGCGAAGCATACTTGCGAGATGCTTGCCAAGCTCTACAGTGTATGAGTAGAAGTAGACTACTAGCTAGGTGATGTTGTGTTTGATAAAACTCTTCCAAAATAGCATAGAGAGGGCCATGGGAGCGATTCTATCGTACCAGTACGAACGCATTCTCCTCTGGCTAGAAACAGCACACCGCTTTGTTTGCTTGGTATTTTATGACCACTGCTGGCACCCGCATCAAACTAGGCTGTCGGTTCAAAAGATATTGAAGATCACTCTAGCTATTAAGAGTAAACAGTTATGAATAAAAATTGGGAAAACTATAGTGGTTGCTCTTTTTCTATGCTAGGATGGTGAATAGCGTGTGCATCTTCTTATTGCTTGCTGAGAGCAGGCAGCGGGATATCACGTTGCACAGCTCCCTCCATCCCCAACTCACGTATCGCTTCCCCAAGGATTGCACTGACATTACGCTTGGACTGGTCTTCGCCTCTCTTTCGTCGAGGCTGTCGTTGCTTCTCGGAACTGCGGGATCTTCCGTTCCCGCTCAGCTGTCTCTGAGGCTTCCTCAGCATTCCCTGAGCGGCTGCATCTGCAAGGCACATGCGATCATCCGATAGTGATGCTCTTCGGCAGCAATCTACCATCTCCGCGTCATCAACTTGGTCAAAGCACTCTGCTATTCGCTTTCGAGTTGCAGGTGATGCGTTCTTGGTGTTGACACGGCGTGTTATTCTAGCCTCTGTTGTGGGCGACGACGGAGGCGAAGAGTCGGAGCGTCTTGAGGGGAGCCTCGGTCTTCGACTCTTCTTTTCCTTGGTAGTTTCAGGTCCGGCTTCGCTATCCCATCGAGAGCTACTAGACCCCATCGATTCGGTACTGGCATCCATCAGCGAGGAGTACCCCGAGTATCCACTAAAAGTGGATTCATCTCCCCCAACACTATGGTCACCGCCGCTGAGCTCCCTTGGTATCCTTGCATTGTCCGTAGTAATGATGAGTTGCCGTGCGTCTCCAACGAGATCGGCCAGGTAGAATCGCAGTGATTGGTTCATGGTGATTGCGTTTACTGGTCTGCTTTTGTGGTCGAAATGGTTACCAGCAAGTTGTGAGAACCGTTGTCAAAGTCAAAACCAAAGCTGTCAACCAAAACGAAGTCAAAGCGCAAAGCGCAAAGAGATCCAAGAAGACAGCTGCATTCTTACGTGTTCCCTTATTAGAGCTCTGTGGTGCTGTGGTGGGTACTGTAGGCCAGAGTGTGGAGATCTCTCCAAAAATGCGCGACCTGTAAATCAGATCCCCGGTTTAGAATGGGGTTCCTTTAGAACTAAACGAACCAAAACCGACCTGCTTCTAGCTGTACCAGATTATAATACTATGAAGGATTGTACCGGTAACAGCAATGACGATTGCATCGGCCACCGCATCAAGAAGCTTTTTTGGCTTTGTTGATACCAGTAAAAATGAATGAACCAGCTACCAGAGCTCTACTGGTATGAACCGAAGCAGCACAAAACATTGCTTTCACAACCCAAAGGTCCCACCCCGGGAAGACAAGTCTAGAAGGGTAGTTATGGTAAATTTAGGGTTAAAGTTATGTTTTACTCTGCATTTTTGTATAAAAACTATAATTTGCCGCTACTACCTGAACCCCAAAGCTGTCTTCCAGGCCCCGGCTGTTCTTGAGTTTGTCAAGAAGTGACAAGAAGTAATGAAGAGTTAAAAGAAATATCATAGTGAGAAGTGAGACATCGTCACAACAAGGTTTCGACATGGTTTTGACCATTATCACATTATCACCAGCACTGTCCTAATGTGAAGGTCACTGGCTTTCGGAAGGCTTTGGCATTTGGACATTTGATTAACTTCTAGCGACGAACTGAGAAAGTGAAAAGAACTGAAAAGAAATAAGTACTCGTACTCAAGTACTCCTACTCTGGAGTACATGACTAATGAGAATTAAATGTAGTCTTAATGCTAGGCAAAGCTTACGTTTGCTTAATCACCTGGAGTCAAAGTGGGTTTGCCTGCAAAGTGCCATTAAATAATATTTGCCCTGGCACTGGTATTAATGAACTGGAAAATGTGACCTGAGCGTCTCAGCGGCGGCCTGTAAACCGGTGAAATCTTCGAGATGAACAAGATTGGGGACAGCCAGGAGAGTCTTGATGATTGCCGACTCTGAAGGCTTCAAAATCAAGTCAGACCAAAGAGCACCCACCACGGCGAAAGCAACGTGGAACTGCATCGTGTTTGGCTGGACTGGGGTGACAAACATCCACTCAAAAGGATTGAAGGGGGGTCTCTAGGCAATGCCTCCGAGACAAAGATCGAAACGATGGGGAATGTGTTAGGAATCTGTCCATCGAGGGAAGACGGCCTGGCAGTGCACGATGTAGTGTCCGACCTTGTAACAGATGAAGCGGCACTCATCACGGCAATTAAGCATCGGGCGACAACCCCCCACTTGCGCGTTGCGGTGGTTCTTCCCGGACCCGAGCCAGCCCCAAACAACACGCGTGGATCGACGCAGGTGGTAGTATGGTGCCATTGACGGATGTCTTTCTGGAGTTCTTTCCCTAGCAATGTTACGAAAATACATTTTCAAGTGTGCGTCGATATTTTGCAACAAAGAATGGATTGTGGTGATGCTCTGCAATATCTTTGCTTCCCTGATATACGTTGGATAGAATGCTTTGAGAGTAATCAAAAGGCAAGCTGAAAATCACATTCCTCTGCAAATTTGGCAACACTTCTCCCCAACACTGCTATTGAACACTTCTCCCGAACACTTTCAGTATGCTAAAGTATTACTTCTTCATTATCAGTGGACACTCTTTTAGGATTTTGCAACCAATTTTCGTTGACAATTTTCTGCCCACCAGTACTACCTTATCGCACAATAGAAGTGCAGCGCGTGACCGGAAAACTGAAACGGACTGGCGCTCCCCTTGCACTCTTCCCATGCCCTGGTTGGAATAGATGTGTAGCTATGTGTAGCGAGCTGCCAAAGAGTGAGGCAGGTACTACAGGCTTGCCTTGTTCGAGACTTGAGATGGCAATCAATGCAACCTAGTACGGCAGTAGTACATGTACCTGGCAGCTGCCTGGTGCGGGACAATGATCCTCTCTTTCCGCCATGCTGCGTCAAGGAACCGTGCTGGCCAGTGCGGATCAAAGCGAAGCGCAGCAAACCATTCATTCCATTTTAACACGTAATAAGCCACCACATGCCGCCTTCAGCAAAACCATCCATCGTATCCACTTGGTGCTTTGCATTCTTCGTACTTCGTACTCAGTACTCAGTACGGGTACGAGTAGTCTAGTTTCAACGCAATCCTCTTTTCCTTGCGCTTCCCCATGGCCCACTCTTTTTCTTTTGGTCTTTTGGTTGTGGTTTTGTCTTGATTCAAGCTGTACATACACGGGGTGGACACACAACACAAAAGTCAACACAAGCGAAAGTGGCTTTAGGGCAGAAGATACGATTCTTACAGGTACATTGTAGTCTAAGCTGTAGTGTACTCCCTGTATTCCTTCTGTATCAGATCAAAGATTCGAGCCACCACCTGCCACCTGCCACCGCAGGTGAACGAAGTCGCGTATTAGTAGTCGCCTATTTTAAAATAGACAACTGTAAAGTTTTGCTTACAGGACATGGCATGTACTGTACATGTACATTACTAGTACAGCTTATGTACACTGTACAGTATTCGGAGCTCGGAATCCAGCAGCCTGTAGACTTTAGACAGTCTTTATGTCCGGTAAGTTGTCTAAAGTAAGAAACTCCAAATGAGATAGCGAGTACTCAGATTTTAGAAAAAGATAAGAATCTTTTTATACTTTAATATCACAGACTTGTAAGAAAACCTCCCAGTAGAGTGATCTGCACTTTAAGACCCACTGTAGATTAAGACCATCGTAATATTCTTGTATTTGTACAGTTAATTTCTATAGTAACAGGTACATACGGTACAACCTAGCTAGTAGCTAGCTAGTGGTACTCTAGCTAGTAGCTAGCTAGCTAGAGGATAAACCATGTTCCATTGCTCAAGCCGTGTGATGGTGTTGAATGTTAGCAGTGTCAATAGATCTAGAGGAAGCAGTGTGGAAAGTCAAAGCAGTGTCGATACCATACCGGTACTAGTAGCGCACCATACAGTCGTACCGGTACCTTACCATACAGTCGTACGTTTACGATGTACCCATAGAGGAAGGACGCAACAGAGGTGCTGGCTGCCAACCATACTGTACCGGTATCATAGAGGTGCGAGGAAGAAAGATAGGAGTGGATAGAGGTGCTTCAATACCGGTAGAGGTGCTTTTCATGTGCTGATTCATGTGCTTGGAGACTGTATCGATAGACCATGGTACCGGTACCGTAGGATCCTACGTAGACTCAGTACTAGAGCCTACGTGTGACGTCATATGGTCTTAATCTGCAGTGAAAAAGAATTCGCTGTGGAGTGGTTGAAATCTTCAACTGCCGGTAACTCCTCTTCTAAGTACACTCTGAGGTTGGGAATTTTGTGGCATACTCAACTACATGTGTTCTCTCGATTCCCTGCTTTAATAGTACAAATTTGATATCCAGCCCTGAAGAGAATATTCCGCGGAATGGTGGGTCTTAATGCGCAGATCACTCTATTGATACCTCAAAGCACAAGAAATAATACTAGTCTGAGACCATGAAAATTTTCCTAACATGTGCCTAAAACTGCAAAATTTTCTGCCTCGCGGCAGACAAAGTGATCACCATCTCTTAGCTTCTTGATCCAGCCCAATTTACGAGTCCTGAGCAAGTTAGACCCAAAGGCCCAGCACTGGGTGTAACCAAACACTACCCTGTTTGATATAGAAGCTTAGTAAGAAAGTCATCTATACTGAAATTGGCTTGTTTTCTTAGAAACAAAATGAGTAGCAAAATAGAGCAGTTGGGTAAGAAAGCTCGAGTACTGACTCCCAGTTAGAGCTTTCTTATTATTGAGTTTGGAGTGTAAAGCATGACCACCTGAGAAGAAGCTCAGAGTGGAGTCTCAAAAACAAAAGATTTCTGCTCAAGACATGTATGTCTTAACATTTTCCGAATATTTTCTAAATGAACCAAATAATGGTAAACCGTACCATACCTGGTAGTCGTTCCAAGGAATGGCGAGGAAAAAGAAGGTCATGAATGTAAGCCGGCAAGGACATTATACGATGAGCTATAGTACCGGTACATGTACACTGTGCCTCTTGAAGATGTTCATACTAGCCTAGTAAAGTCCGGGATCCATAAACAACAGCTTACGGTAACTGTGATTCGGATTGATCGGACAGCTCTCGGACGCTATCAAACGTGGACACAGGAGGAACTTGATTACCGCAAATTTTCCTTTCAGTTCCCTACGAGTACAAGGTCGGTCCAGCTAAGCTTGGCTTCTCATCGAGATCTGCTTGCCCCAGCACACGCCGCCCCAAGTCCCAATCCAACCGCACAATCGCAAGCACAAATAAATCACAATCAAAGGACGACACGGCCGCATCACACCAAAGCAAATCTCTCTCTCGCCTAGTAGCTAGCTAGCACCACAGATACATACCGTACATACAGTAGAACCAGCTTGGCCTCTGCTCAAAGATGATGGGAGGAGACGATAATGAGGCTCGCATGCCACTGGGTGGTGGCGGTCAAGATCCGCTTCTGCGGATGCACTTCCACGATCCTCTGTCCGGTGCGAAGGCACGAAAGGCGGCAGCTCCCCCAGCCAAACAACCTCCCTCGAAGAAATCAAAGCTTTCCTCTGCTGCTGCTGCGGCGGCGGCGGCATCTGCTAAGGGTGGTAAAAAGAAAGGCAAAAACGATCAAGAGATGGAGAACCACGGCACTCTGTTGCATCAGTCCTGTCGTTTGTTCCCTCAGTGCGCTCCTGTTCTCGAGAGCTCCATCGAGATGGAAGGGGCTGACAAAGGTTGCGAACGTGCCGAGAGGGCCGGCACGACTTCCTCTTATCTCGTAGGAGATGGACGGGAACCTTACTCCCTTCCCATCAACATCTTGTTGCACCATTCAGCATGCGCGGAAGCTGTTCGAGTTGTCGCCAGAGCTGCGCCCAAAGCCCTGCTGATGAAGGATGGGCGTGATCAAGACTGTTCCTTGAATATAGCGCTCCGATTGGGCGGTTGCCGACGGAAAAGGACGCAAGATGCACCCGACGAAGACGACAACGTGATGGCCACAACGCTTGGAACTTCCGTTAACACTTCCGCACCAGAAGAACTGCTCGCCGCAAATCCTCAGACGGCACAAACACCAGATAGGCGTCGAAATTTACCCTTGCATGTCGCTGCGTATGTGGGAGCCTCCTTCACCGTCATTAACAAGCTATACTATGCATACCCCGAGGCCTTGCTGGAAACCAACTTTCACGGAGAAACGCCCCTGGATATTGCCATTCGAAATGGAAAATGCAGCGACATCTCCACTAACTTTCTCCAGGAAAAGATGGATCACCTCAAGTCCGCGCGCATGAGGGCTATGTGCCGGTGAGCCGGTGAGTGGTGAGGCGAGGGAACGACTCACTCTTCTGCGGGTGTATTCATAATAGTGATAGCTAGCTAGTAGTTAAAATCATAAAACAGCCTACGGTACCAGAAACTATCCACCCTCATCTTTCACGATGACACACGTCTAGCTGGCCGACAAACAGTCGGCCAATCAAATCATGCCGCGATAGCGGGTCGTCGTGCGGCATTGACGATTTGCAATGAATGGGCTTTGAAGGTATAGGAACGCCTTCAAAGTCTCGCACCTCCGAGGGCCGCACACGACAGGAACACATACGGTATATTCCGGGTTCTACGTTGCCAAGGTCTACACGTTCCTACTAGAGCCTTCAAGGGCCCTCATTCTCGACCAGAGCATCATTGTGGTCACCCGCTCGAATCTCGTCACGAACGCGAGTCAGGATCTGGCCCAGCAGATTCAAGCCAGGCCAGAACTTCTCTGGGGTGTTTCTGGCATTGGCCTCCACCAAACCAATGCCCCAGATCTTGTCACTGGGGGATGCCTCCACGAGCTGTCCGGTTGTGTTCAAAAGTGCCTCCAGGAGGTGGGGGTTCTGAGTGAACTTTGCGACTGAATTTTCGTAGACGATCCTCATCCTTTCCTTGTTCCATACCTTATGATCAAAGAAACGCACTTTGCGACCCAAAGCTTTCATTTTTCGCGGGCTCTTGGCCTCCAATATTTGCTCTGCCACCTCCGTGTCGCCAAACAGCAAGGCTTTCCCGTGCATCATTCCCTGCTCGGCACAGCTAAATTCAACACCATTCAGGACATATCGTGATATGTGCCATTGAGAAAAGGGGGAACCTGATTGCCAGAAGAAGTGGTATCTTCCCGCGGCTTCGGTTTCCTTCTCCGCAGCAGCTCCGTGCGCGAGCTCTTGCGCGTTTTCTGCAAGTGGCGCTTCAGCGAACTTGCGCTTGGCCTTCCTTCCGCGAGGCATTTTGATATCTTTCTAACAGACAGTTGAGTTGGGTTTATTTCCAGTGTGGTGCCAGCTGCTGTTATCCTCGTTGTAGTGTTAGCTGTTGTTGTTTGCTTTTGTGATGGTTGCAACGAAAGCGGCCTTTGCAAGTTGTGCACGACTGGCCAAAGATCCACGTTTGTATTAGTAGAAGAAACAAATCGTCCACGGCTCAGTCGTCGCCTCGTTGCGCGGTACGGTAGTGCTAGCTGTCGTTGTTTGCTTTCGTGTCTGCCGCAGTGAGCTTGGTGTCCTTGATTGCTCTTTGCAGGCTGCGACAGCTCAAAAGATCCACGTTTCTTCTAAAAGGACTCGACCACGGCGCGAATGAGGCCAGACTGCTGGTTGGGCACTGGACACTCCAGAGGATCGATGGATCGATGCGGGAAGGGCAGAGATTGGCGCCGAATCGGTTTTAAGCCAGGCTCTTGAACCATTCAATCGCTACTGAATCTGACCCAAAGGTTGTCATTACGGTGGGCGCACCCCAAACGATCAACCACGAGTTTTGTGTCGCCGTTGGTGCAGCCATGAGTTTTGTAAACGTCATGGTCTATTTCCTTCTATTGGTGCTACACAAAGGAGTGACTTTGCGATACCGAATCCGTACAGTACATCAGCCTCAAGTCTAACGTACGAGAGAGCTGCCTGGGGGGCAATGTTCGATTCGATGCTTCTAAGAACAACATACAGTATAAGTATATTGGATACAAACAATCCTAGCAGTACGTTTAGTTTGAAGATATTATATCCTACAAATTCTTGTTCAGCAAGACTTTTTGCCAGTGGTCTCATGCACATGAACCACGACGACGCAAGCGCCTATGCGTCCCTGCGGAGCTTCCAGCGTGTCGCCGAGACCCAGGCATGTACGAATCGTCTTTGCTTGCCGCCGCGTTACCGGTAGGCGACAATGGGGACGAAGAGTCGTCTTCAGTTTGCAACGGATTCTGCATGGCAACGTCCATGTTGACAGTGTCCTTCCTCGCGGCTGCCTTCGGTGTCGTGAGGGCAAAGGCTGCGGCTTGGATTGAACCCTTGCGAGCGGCGGAACGTTCCTGTGCAGTGTGGGCATCCCCAAAGGACTTTTGTCGACGTTGCTTCCAGACATCCTGCTTTTCTGCGCTGCTGCCGTTCCCCGCAGGGCTGGCGGAAGGCATCTCAACCATGTCATCATCTCGAGCCTCGGACAGGTCGGTTTGGGCCATCAATTGCAAGTTTCTCCTGAGCACATCTTGTCCCAACGAAGCTCTTCGATTCCTTCGCGGATCCCTGGTCACCCTGCGGAGTTCCACACTGCCGGGCCGTTCTGTTGGGAGCGTCCGGTTCCTCCTTGGAGTCATGGGAGACGGTGGTACGGCAGCGTCAACGGGGGCATCAGTACCGGTAGCTACGGGACCAAACGAACGAGACCGCTCACGCATTCGACGTGCCCTACGAGGGGTTGACGGTGATAGCAAGGTTGGTGGCAACGGCGGGACGTTTGACCCCTCCGAAGCTTTGGTGGCTTTGTCACCACCGGAACGTGCGCGTTCACGCAATCGCTGCGGACGACGGGGCGTCGTCGGCGCCACAATGGTTGGCGGGGTTGGGGATGCGGTTGCTGCTTCTTTGGCAGCTTCACAGCCGAAGGAACGGGATCGTTCCGCACGCAGTCGTTGTTTTCGACGAGGAGTAGACGCTTCTGCGACCGGCTTGGCCATGCTGCGACGCTCACGGCGTCTTGAATTGTTGTCATTGCGGCTGGAAACTTCCATCGACCGGCGATTGGAGGACGCGTCCATTGCTACCTCACTCTTGTCTTCCATGGAAGAAGACACAGAAGACACGCGACGAGCCTCCACAGAACCTGCCCTTCGACGACGATGCTTTGATCCGATGGCGCCAGAACGTTCGCTCTTTCTTTGGTTCCGTCTCTCTGGTACCGATTCTTCCTTCACGTCATCCTCGGCTTTCTTTCGGCTTTTACTGCCGCTTCGCCTCTTTGGTTTGGCGTCCCCAGCACTAGCTTTGTCATCTTGATCCTCGCCGGAAGGTAATCCAGGCTGAGCTTGAGATGTCCTTCTCGTCTTGGATTCGATTGTTTGACGAATTACTTGCCCCGCACTGCTGACCACACTTGCCAATGCCAAAGCTCTCTTGGTGGCTTCCTCGACGGCACTCCCGTCACTTGATCTAGATGAAATGGATGCTGTGGCAGTCGTGACGCTCTCGCCGTCGTCTCCCTTTGGCTTAGAATGTTTTCCCTGGCCAGTACCTGTGGTGTCTTCATTCTCAATGCTGGCCAGAGCTAGGGCCATCTGATTGGTGTCGGCAATCTTCTGTATGTCTTTTTGCTCTTGTTCGGCTGTTTTCCTCTTGATCTTCTCGAGCAAAAAAGCACACAGGATTTCTTCCTGGAATTCCTCTGGAACCTCTTCACGCTCCGTATCGCTCTCACCGACCATCCCTTCTTCGTCAATGCCTTCATTGAGGTAGAAAGAAGACTCCAATTCGGGGAAAGTGGCGGTCGTAGTCTTGCGATCGGGACGACGAGAAGCCTGTCTTGCGCGGTTCAGTCGAGAAGCTTGCTTGAGGGTAACAAATGAATCGTTCAGAACGGCCAAGGAATCCTCGCCATCAAAGAGTTTGGAAGCATTCATGACTTTGTCAAAGAAGGAGCTCTTGTTTAGGCTGTCAAAACCAGGGACGTTCTGTTCGTCAATGAATGTGGAAAACGCATCGTCGAATATGTCAGTACTCTGCTGCATCGTAGCTGCGACCGTTGGGCTCGTCATGTTGTTGTGGTACAAGAAGAGAGGACAAATAGATATCAATGATTCCTTCCAAGCACTTTGCTTGAGGTGGGCCTGGACACCAAAATTAATGAATGCTCTACTTTGCCAGTGTGTCCTCGGGTTGGCAAAGATGTTTCCACCAGCGGGAACGCTTCTACTGAAATGGCGAAATGGCAGCAATCAAAGACTGTGGGGTATCGGTTTGTTTGTCGAGTGTCCTGCCGTGCAGTGCCGTGTCTCACACTCTCACCCTTGTTCGGTGATGTTGGGTAAAGGCGCGATCATGCATTCTTGAAAGTCTTGAAAGAACACGTGTGGTCACTTTCTCGTACTAAGATTTATGTGGAAGTCATTGTAATCGTCTGAGACATTCTATTTTGGAAGATAGGTTCATAAAGAGAGTTAACAATACCTTCATGGCTTTCTTTTGGAATTAGAAGGCTCATCCCCGGGATAAAAGGAGAACATCTGGAGAACTTTCCCCAAACAGGGCCACCAACACAAGGCATCCGTGCTACCGGTACAGGACCACGACCTACCAACTCTTTTCATGTGGTATTGCTTTGGTTGATACCAGTGGGCGAATGTCCTTGTTGGTGACCGGCTGTCCAGCTGTGAAAAAGTGCAGCCTAAAAAATACATGTACTGGAGTATGAGCATGACATCGGTTTCCAGGGAAGAGGAAAGCTGCCCAGCCCTCACCTCCCCTCGCCTGTGTCAACCAATCCTGGGAGACAGACAAAGAGTGGAGGGGAGGACCGCACCAGTGAGCAGCTAGTAGTACCTGCGACAGCTCTGCTACCTACAGTGTCCCATCAGCTACTGGCTAGCTGTTCCATCCCAACTTTTTAAGACTAACTATCTACTATGCATACATAATTCTTTGCACAAACGAACTCCAACCCCATCCTAAGGACTCCAGTGCCATCGAACCTCATTTCGAGCATGTCCCCTCAAGGTCGAGAAGTCGAGAGCTACGATAGCGACCAGAATGATTCAATCATCCTCTGCCAGAAAACAACGAGGATCGAAGCACATCCTTTCTAACCAGATAAAGACAAATAAATAAACAGATGATTCGCCAGTCGTAGTATGTGTGTTGAGGATGAGGGAGGGGGTTCATTCTACTAGTAATGCAGGTATCTGGTACCATTGGAGTGACAGTCCATTGAAGAAGAGAGGAGGGCTGGGATGTCCACTTGCCACTCAGGAACTCTTCGAGCCCGTTATGGTACCGTAGCGGTACCGGTACCGGCATGGTCAACAGCTCTTTCTGGCTTAAATGAGTGGGAAAGTGAGCGACCTGCAGGGAAAGATCCAGTGACCAGTGCCCCCAAGATCGCGTTGAGCGATTTTCCGACAAGGCTCACTTCACAGCTTTCTCTTGTCTCTTCCCTGCCAAAGGGATTCTATCAAGGACTATCCTCGACGCTACGAGTAGTTCAGTTATCTCATCCTTTCTTGTTTGCAGTATTTTGTAGCGTAACAATCATGGCGACTCAAGCGGCCTTTTTCGGGCAACAACCGCCTCCGCCGATCAAGAAGGCCAACACGGCCTCCAGTACTACGACCGAATCTTCGAGCTCCAAGACGAAGAATGGCATCAAGACAATCACTACAAAGTACGTGACGACAACAAGGGAAGCAACGTCTGCGCCTGATCAAAATACAAACACGATCAACAAGGAGACGAGGCAATACAACGATGGAACCACAGATGACATCACGTTGACTCGCAAGGTTTTGGGTGGAATGCAGTATGATATCGAAACGATTATTCGAGTGCAAACCAAAGATACGGGAAGCAAGAAAACCAAAACGACCTATGCGACGCCGTATCAGGAATTGGATCCTGTTACTGGAAAACCCATCAACGCCTTTAACCGTGTCACTCATACGGGAGCTGAGCATGGCAAAACCCCGGAAGGATTGGCAGATCAAATCGCGCAGAGAGCACCAGCTGTATCCAATCAAGCGCACAACGTGACACCTGTTACTACTGGACCTGGCGCACCACCAGCTCCTGCTGCTTCTACCACGGTAGGTTCTTCTGGAGCTGCAACTTCGTCGGCATCTTATTCTTCTGGTCCAGCCAGTAGTGGTGGCGGTGGTGGTTCCTCGGCAGTAGCTTCCAGCGGTGGAGGTACTTATGGTGGTGGAGGAGGCGCCCCAGCTGCATATTCTGGTGCAGGAACTGGTGGTGGGGGTGCACCTGCAGCAGCCACTGGTGGTGGTGTTCCTGGGGGTACCGGTGCTCCTGGGGTAGCTTCTGGCGGCGGCGCTCCTTCTACAGCAACTGGTGGCGGTGCTCCTGGCACAGGAGGAGGCCAACCAGGAGCAACTACAACGACGACAACCACCACTGCTGGGGATCCTGGCACTGATGGAGCTCCCGGAAACACCACTGTCACCACTACGACTGTCGTGGAAGAACAAGGCGGATGCTGTGTGATCCTGTAGTGAAGAATACGTGAAAGAGCGTGTGACTCACACGGCGTCTGTTTTGTGTCTCTCTGTTCCTGATGTCATTATTGTGATGTGCTGTTACATTAATCTATTTGATTTGTTTGGGTCGGTTGACCAGCCCAAAAAAGGTGTTGGAAGCTGGATGAAGTGGAAGTAAAAAGAAGTGTTTTAACATATACATGTAGAGGTCAACAACCAACTCATTTCGGGGGGAGAAGGGTGTGGTTCAATCACTTTTCAGCTGCATTATCCATGCCGATGACTAGCTAGTTTGTTTGTTGGTGAAATATACTATTCGTTCTAAAAGAACACTTTCTATGTATGGGATGGCGACTAGTAGAGGAGCTCGAGGTGCGGCTTGTACGGCATGGTACAGTCGTACCAACATTTGATAGAGAAGCACAAATAAATAAGTTATTCCAACCTTCAGCGGGAAGACATGTGCAAATCACTGGAGTGGCATTCTCTATTGTAGGGACAACTTTGCGTGCTGGTTTCAGCCTCAAAATAAGACCCACAGCAACCACGAAGCTTCTACTTCTAGCTTCTACTTCTAAAGCTAGTAGACAGACATTTGAATGTAGCTGCTCTATAATTGACACTGCAACTTACAAGGTCTTTGACTGTTCCAAGACCGACACAAACAATGACGTTCATACTATGACATACAAATACTTTGGTTCGCACATTGGCGCCCATCTACGCCCAATAGGCCATTGCTGATACCACGGAAACAGCCATAGCTGCAACTGTGGCTATGCTTGTTCCACTGGAAGCTGCAGCAGTAGTTTTTTCTTCTGCTTCGATCTCCTCTACTTCTTCCTGGGTCTCAATTTCTTCAGGGGCAGGACGAAACTCAGTACCGTCTGCACAGGGTCCAATCTGGTCAGCTGCTGTAATCTCCAGGTCGTACCATGCAATGTCAGTGAGAATGTTTGATCCATTGGTGCATGTGTTGAAAAGTCCAATGGGAGGACCATTGCCATAGTTGCAGACTCCGCTGATTCCATTAAAGATCTCCTTGGGTCCCAGATGAACGGGGTATTCTGCTTCTTTGTCGTTGGGTGGGGCATCACAGACACCGCACCGTGCACAGTTGACGGCTCCAAACACTGCTAAGCATCCTGTACGTCGTTGCCCAATTCCATCATTGAACCGAAAGGAAATGGTGTCAATGGAAGTATCATCCAGAAAGACATAGAAATCTGTAATAGCCGTCTCCTTGATGGTCTCGTAGTTTCCAACCTCGCCAATGGATGTTGCCTTTAACCAGATTCTCGCAGAATCAACGGTAACATTGCTGATACAAGTACTCTTGCCCTGTAAGGGGTCACAGTTGATTTCATGATCCAGATCCACACTGTCAATGTTGTTGCTGATGCCGTATGTTGTCTCGCATGTGCAAGTGGGTCCATACATTTCTGTCAAATCGTCACACCATTGGTTGAAGACAACTGGATCATCGTATGTATAGTTTACTGGTTTGACGAATTCTGGTTGAGCATCCGTGGGCGATACCACCAAGGTGAGCACCAGCGAAAGAAACAGGAAAAGGGATGATCCGAGTGATCTCATTGTGGCAGTTGTGGCCGTGGGAAAAGCAGATTGCTGTGGGGTATGTATCCGATTGATTCAATTCAATCAGTTCAATTCAATTCAAAGTCTTGATGTAGAAGAAAATCCACCTTCCAGTGCTGGTCGCTTTTCAACTAACTCTCTTGTACTGTACTGAAGAAGCTCAGAGTGTGGAATAGGTTTCAAGTCATGTTGGTCTACAGAAAACTAAGCTCAGGGATCTTGGAGACGGAAAGCGAAATATCTTCCCAAGACCCGAGACTTCAGCTTGTTGACCCGTCCGATTGGTGACCCTTCATAAAAGCCCGCAAAGCTAGGTACATGTAAGATACAACCGTGACGTCACCAAGGGCCTTCGATAAAGTGACTGAATTTGACGTTTTAACAGCTCAGCTGCATAAATAGAAATCGTCAGTCAAGTGCCGATGACAAGGAACATCCATCTTTTCAAAGATCTCGATTGAAGGCTTCGAGGCACTCAACTCCGGAAAGGAGGAGAAGAATGCAATCGAGCAGATAAGAAAGATCTTGAGTGGTACAACCTGTGATGTTTCTTTGATGGGCGTCATTAGGAGGCAACGATAGAATTCGAAGACATTGCCGTAGTAGGCTGCTAGTAGCTAGCCTCATCATCATCTCGTCATCATCATCATCGTCATCAACTGTTCCGGAAAAGCAGAAGTCATACAGAAGATCTAATTAGTATTGCGACGCCTCGATCGGAAATAAAAACAATTCCGAACGAAGCGCAATCTCACAATTTTAACAACGCGACAAAAGAAAAAGATCAACCAGAAAATGAAGACCACAGGAACTGCCTTTCTAAGAAGCCCCATGGCGTTGCTGTCAGCGGGGCTACTGCTGATGGTGTTCCAATCCCAAGAGACCGTTGCACTGAGCAGCATCAATCCCAAACCTCCCAGTGACAGTAAGAAGACCTTGAAACCATTCGGTAGTGGAGGAGGAGGTCGCGTATCGGGTGTGCCCATAAGGGACAAGGAGGACGATTTATCGTCCAGCGAGCAACCAGCAGAACCACAGCCACGGTGGGAACCAACCCCTCCCAAACCCTCAGAAGCCCGCTTGACTGTGGTGCAAATCACGGATGTATACACGTTGGAACATTTTGCGTCTCTCAGAACCATGTTGTCGGAAACGCGACAAAAATTAAAGGAATATCGAGATGAAATTGTACCCACAAGCGGTGCCAATAAAAATGAAGTCTCCGACGAGAAGCTACCACAAACACTAACAAAGTCCGAGACGGGTGTCATTTCCATGCTCACGGGTGATTTTTTGGCACCCTACTTGTTGTCCTCTGTGGATCGAGGAAAAGGAATGATGAGGGCATTGACAGAAACACCCATTGATTACTTGACATGGGGCAATCACGAGGCTGATATTGACCATCGAACCGTCTGTAGTCACGTCAGGAACTTTCCTGGAAAATGGATCAATAGCAACATGCTGGACCACGATGCCATGGATGCTCAGCAAGAGTTTGATGTTGTGGAAATTACATCTCCAGACGGGACCAACAAGAGACGGGTAGGGTTGGTGGGGGTACTCTCCAATGACCCGGACTTGTACTCCCATTTCAAGGCACCAGGTGCTTTTGGTGGAGCCACCATTGATGATCCATGGGAGACTCTGAAAAAATACAAGGACTTGTTGGAGGGACCAGATCACAATTGCGATGTCATTCTGCCCCTTCAACATTTATACGTTCCAGACGATGAAAGAACGTGTCGCGAATTCAACTTCCCTGCCATTTTATCGGGACATGACCACCATCGTGTCGATGAGGTGATCGATGGAACGCGTCTACTCAAACCGGGGTTGGATGCTATTTACGCTACAGTCCTTGAAATGTGCTGGGAGGATTCATCTCAAGAGGATAGCAAGCCCATCGTGAATGCTCGTTTTGTCAAGTGCAGTGATTGGGAAGCAGATCCTGTACTGGAACAAATCAACTTGAGAGCCTATGACGCCATGGCACCACTCCGGGACACAGAGTTGGCGCGTGTGCCCCCAACATTTGAACCGTTGTCGTCTGTCAATGCACGAGGTTGTGTCACTTCCATGGGGCGATTCATTTGTTCCCTGATCAAATCAGCATTTAATACACAGCAACTCAAACGAGACCACCGAGTGGATGCAGTCCTTCTCATGGGAGGCAACATTCGAGGTGGAAAAGACTATGAGAAGGGGTCCTATTTTAGTGCCGAGGCACTTGAAGCAGAGATCAAGTCGGACGAAGCGGTTGGAATTGTGAACATGCCTGGCTGGTTGCTGGCAGAGGGAGTCTCTGCCACACACTCTGGAGATCCAATTCCAGGGTGGATTCAATACGATGATGGAGTGAAAGAAGAGTACCCCGAGGACGGATCCCCTCCTATCGTGACGCATGTCAATGGGCTCCCAATTGATCCAGATATCACCTATCGGGTCGCGACCAAAATATCCGACCTCACCAATGGCCAGTGTCAACCATGGACGGATTGTAAGTATGGCACAAGGAGTCACACGTGCTTTTTACAGCTCATATGGAATCCCAGGGCAGCTCACCAGCATTGCCTCGTCTTGTCATTACAGTCTACACTGAGTACCCAGAAGCCCTGCCTCCCAAGGGTGCCTACGTGAACATATATTCGGAGCTCATGACATTCTTTGCAGGAAATCTATGGCGAAAGATCTGGGAATCTATCACGGTAAGTCGACGATGCCATCTTTTGTCAATGATGCTTGAGAACCCTGCAACGGCATCTCATCTCGTTTCTCCAGCCCGAAGTGGTTGCCGCTGAGAGAGGGCAACTGTTGGAAAACTTTGCCTCGCCATTGGATATTATGTGTGACGACACAGAACTGGATGAGCCTGATCTCGACTGCGAACCACTGGCAATGATCTGTGATCCCAAGCTAGATTGTCTTCCTGAACGACGCTTGTCGGTTTTGGACCTAGATGAAACTGGAACCATCACCGTTGCAGACATCCATTCAGCACTCGGTGATATTCTCCAGCTGTCTGTGGACGAAAGCGGCTCGGAAACAAGCCTAGCAGAGTTTGTCCATTCCTTTGCAGACATGGACAATGATGGCAAGGTGACTCTGGATGATCTCAATGCATTCTGTGCTGAAGTTCCAGATCTCTATGAGAATGAGAAATGGCGTCTGGCATTTCCTAGAACTGAAAAGTTGCTTGCATAGGTCGCAACCTGGCTGAAATGCTGAAATCAAGCGGACGATGCTCCGAGTACAACATGATCAGTTCAGGTCTCCCCCCTTGTGATATATATGGTCGTGATGTCGAATTGTTGATGATAGAGAAAAATGACTGCTGCCAAGATTCATAGAGTGAAGCAACGACAACCTGAGAAATACTTACTGAATAAAGATACCGGTAGGGTTGTTGCCTTTTCAAGCTAGTTTGTGCAGACAACCCTGCCAGAAAGCAGCCAGCTAAACATGTGTTGACTAAGGAGCATGCGGTTACCATTTCGCTTTGGAGGGAAATACATATTCACTTCACTGAATACAATTTGGCCTTGGTGGCTTCCAAGAGAATGGGTATACCTGTCCTCACACCCCATTACTAGGATCTTTCTGCAGCATAGGCTGTGTAGTTGATAGATCGTTTCTTGCGTTTGTAGAAGTGCCATGACGGCTGCTAAGTTCGCTGCACTGCCGTTCATGATTGATGGTACAGTACTCTAGAGCCCGGCAGTTGCTTCGACTGGGCTCTGGCAGCTGCTCTGGCTTCAGTTCTGGATGGTTGTATTTGTACATCAAATTTTGTACGATTGTAGTACTGTACTCGGCCATGGGCAGGGCTACCAACGTTAACGTGCAGCGAAGGAACAGACCGGTCGCCACCCCTGCCTACCCTGAAGCCAGGACGAATGAATGTCTGCACCCTATAGGCTTTTTCCGGGCAGAGCAACAGGCAAGCAAGCAATGTCTAGGTAGTACAGAAGTAGATATCGTGCGTGAGTTGCAGAACAAACAGAAGCAATACACTGTAGTCTAGTCTATTATGGGAACGACATGTTTCATTGGAACCTATCTACTGCCAGAAGAACTTGGAGCCAACTTCGATTGAAACGGAGGAGGCCCGACAAGATTGAAGAACTGCGACCGGCTGGCTGACAGCTTCCGTCCCTGTGGCTTGGGCTGTTGGCCCGATGCATTTCCGTGAAGCAAGAACGAACCAGACGGCTCCTCGTACTACCGGCGCTAACTAGCGGCATGATGTACCGATTGCAGAGGCAATAGCCGACTTGCTTCGGAAAGGAACCCAAGAAGCCTTCTGGTTGTCGCTTGTAGGCCACAACGTCTACGACATAGAGCTAATAATAAAGGGGTTTCTGCGCTTCCAATGGACTCTTTAGTAATCGGAAGACCGCTTTGGAGGTTACCTATGCAAGGATGCCGTAAAATGCAAGATTAGGTTTCAATAGAAACCTGCGGAGTACTTGTCTTGTACATGATGCTACCCTACTATAGAGCAGCTAGTGGTAGTTTTTACCAGTCAAAGGCCGTCTTCCAGGTAACTGACAACTGCTGCAACCACACCAACAGCGAGCGCCTTGAATGAGAGATGAAAGTAGGCATGGTCGAGGTGTACGGTAACTAAACTACATGCACTGCTACCGATGTATAAAGAGATCCAATTCTCTACTCAGTAGCCTTTTAACTTCGTAATGTTACATGTATGTGCAATCGTTTATTTAGCTATTCAATAGAGCAGTATTCAATCATGATGATCATACCGCTCTCTGGACGGACATGGGGGGCATGTCGCGAGTGGTACGCTCCTGTTTCTTTGCGTCCACTTCGCTGTCGGCTCCTTCGTCCTTCTTCAAGTTCTTGAGAAACTTTTGCAAGACCGACTTGGTATCTGATTCCAGGTCTCTCTGAGCCTCGGCGCTGCTCTGTCGCTGTGGCTTTTTCAATATCAACGTCTTGGGAGAAAGCTTCTCGGATGGACGAGACAACAGAAGGGGTGGTGCCGGTGGCGAGTTTGTGGTGGTAAGCGGCATGATGGGCATTCTCAGATCAAAGGGATTCTTGGGCCTGCTGCTGCCGCTGTTTCCCAACGGGCTGCGATCCCAACTGTCATTCTTCTTTCGTTGGTGCTTCTCTTCCTGCCTGCCTGATCGCTTGAGTAGTGATCCTGTAGACTGACAGTTGCGCAAGTCATCGGTCGACCGAGGGGCCCTCGAGTTGTTCAACATCAAGCTCCTCAAGTCGTCACTGGATCTTCGGCTCTTGGTGGTGGTTGGCTTGGACGCCAACAGCTTGGAAATCTCGGCAATATCTGGAACACTAGACCACCGACACCTCTTGGCGGCCGGTGCCTTGTGCTTGGACCTCATGGTCATGGATTCGCGAGTCGAAAGGCATCGAGCATTATCCGAATAGATGGCGATCGTCACTTCTTCGGGTGCTTCATTGATTCCAGCCGAGGCGCTCTCGCCGACATTACTGCTAGCCATCAGAGGCAGAAGCATCTGAAGGTAGCTGTAGTAGGGGTTGATCATTTCGGAGTTGCCTGCTGGTGGGTCTTGTTGCTTGCTGTTGTAGTGGCACATGTTAGTTTGATGTGGGCGTATCAAGATGAAATTGTGAGGCTTCTTTGGGCTTGTGGGCAGCTTCAGCTTCCGCACGAGCAAATTGTCAGGGCTGTTGCCATGAAGCATTGGCTCGCTTCTTTGAAACCTGAGCACTGTGCACGGGCACTGCTACCGCACTACTACTGCACGCATTCATTTGTACGCACCCGCTACTTAGCGAGCCACATGTGGCACAGCGTACCGGTTGCTGCTTGAAGATTGAAGGTTGCGATTGGAAGAAAGAAGAACCCCATTCAATTACAGCCAAACACCAGACTCAACTTTGGCTTCTAACTAAAAAGTGCAACCGACCAGCAGTTTTTTGTCACTTTCTGCTTGCAGTATTGCCAAAGCTTCTTCGACAGAAAAAAGAGGAAGTTGGGCCTTCTTGTGCATGTCGCGCCAAGCTATTCTAGTTGAATTTGTTAAAGGGAAAGTCGTGGAAAGCCACGTAGGTTTAACTGACAAAACACTTCCGCGGTCTACTTATTGCAAATGCACTCAACTTATTGAAGGTTCCAGCTTCTTTCAGCTCTTCTTCCGAGTTCAGGAGCCTGTCAAAGATATAGGGCCATAATGGAAGCATCTTGCTTCAACAGTGAAACCTCGAATTCGGTGAGTTGAGACCCAGAACGGTAATAAGGGAAGCTTAAAAGGGATATGCACCTGTGAATAGATCCTTCGGATTTTGGTGGTATTAGAGCAGTGCCCGTGCAGGTCACGAGCATCGGAGTTAATGAAGTTCTGGGAACACTGTACAAAGGAAAGATAGTGAGCATCCCTTTGCGTCTTCACTGACAGTCATTGGTACTCAAGGATCAACAGACATGCTTCTTTCTGCCAACAATGGAGATAGAGGGGCGATACCCTTATTTCAAGATGGTATTAACGACGACAAACGAAGTAACGGTAAAAACAACGGTCCAAACTGCAGAGCTGGCAAGAACTGTGTAAGGTTGAACTGCTAATAAGGAGATGATCGATAAACTCATCAACGTTTTGGCACGGATAAGCATACAGTACCGTACAGCCGTACAGTGATACCAAACTAGTAGGGCACTACGACTGTAGTCTACACAGCTCTAATTAGCAGCGAGCAGAAGTACCTAGCCAGAACGCAGAGGAGATGATACTACCGGTAGACTACTAGAGTACTGATAGCTTGCTAGCTACTAGCTAGACTAGCTTTTAGCCATGACTTCGGACGCCGGTGGATGAGCTACTAGCTCTAGAGCTAGAACAAACTAACTTGGAACTTGAAACAGCTCTCGAAACAGTGCCGCTGGTACGTACTGGTACCAGTACTGGTACCGGTACGCTGCGATCCACACAGTGCCACTTCGTGGGAGTAATAGCTGCTACACTGTAGCTGGCTGCCTGGTGGCAGGTGCTGACTGTGCTGACCCACTGTCAATTAATTGTCGATTGCATCGTAATTGTTCGTCAGCATTCATCGAGACAACACTGTGCGGATGTTCCATTTTCCTTTTGATGTCTTTGGCATCGATGTATCCGAATTCCTAGGACGGTGGTGCCTTTTACAGACAAAAGCATTTATTTGTTTCTCTTCACCTTCACCGCTGTTCACGGTTGGTTCACAGTTCAGTCGTCTCCAACACTTTCCACTGACCAGGTGGTCATGGAGGCATGAGGCAGCCATTAGGCGTGGAGGCGACGAGGCGACCCAGTCGCACTGGGAAGGCATACTAGCTAGCTCATTCGGCAACCTGCTTCGTTGCAGTAGACCTATGCACCGTACTCGTACTCGAGTGATCGGAACATCGGAACGGTAGTTTTGGTTCGGGGCTTGAGTTGAAGATAGATGCTGGTCCTCGAGAGTAGGCGGGATTGATGTTTCATCCTCGGTCCCTACCGTAGCTTTGGCCAGCAGGCGGTCAGTGGAAATGACGACATGGTGTGTGAGATCAATGACCATGAATCCTCAATCCTTGTTTCCTCCTCGCTCCCTCCAAGCTAGCAAGCAGGCGGTCAGTGGAAGGACGACATGGTGTGGGAGATACGAAGGATCGCTCTTCAATCCTTGTTTCGGACGTGCCTGAAAAGCAGTATTTTGCCAATAAAGTTTACTCCTACTAGGTTTGTTTGTTATCTAACTCCTCATCACTTGCAACCTCTTCAACAACGCGCTATCCAATTGCCACTTAAACAACCAGTAGCACAGAGGGGATGGCCACCACAACATGTTGGCCTCGTTTCAAAGGACCTTTTTCGCAGCATACTCATCAGATCCACCACCACCTCCTCCG